AATTTCCTTAATATACGCAATTCCAAATAAAGACAAATTTAAAGCGTGTCACAAACTCACAACCAACCAAATTAACTTTGGCGTCAAGGCCTCAAGGACACTTGGACCTATTTTCCAAGTACGCGGCGTAACGTGAGCGTTGATAAATAATTTGCGGACTTCTAGTTCTAAAGTACAAGTGTACAAGTATCAAACATTCACATCTTACTCTTTTTGGAAAATTTGCAAATTGTAGCCATTTAAAGTTCGTGTTTTGTAAATTGCAGTCATTTAAATTTTTTTTTTACAAATTACAGCCCAAAAGTTCGTATAAATTGTAAATTGCAGCCCGATTCAATTTTTTCATCGGTTTACAAGTTGAAAAATCTTCGGTTAAGGTTTTAGGGGTCATTTTAGCCCTTAGGGGCCTGAATTGAGCTCAGAATTAGCAAAAAAATAACGTAAATATCTCGTTTTGCATAACAAAAATGTATCGATTTGTGGGAAACTGTAAATATGAGACACTTACGTTATTTTTTTGCTAATTCCGAGCTCAATTCGGATCCCTAAGGGACAAAATGACCCCTAAAACCTAAACCGAAGATTTTTCAACATGTAAACTGATGAAAAAATTGAATCGGGCTGCAATTTACAATTTATACGAATTTTTGGGCTGCAATTTGCAAAAAAAAAATTTAAATGGCTGCAATTTGCAAAATAAGAACTTTAAATGGCTGCAATTTGCAAATTTTCCTACTCTTTTCTTGCCAAATAACATGCTCCCATGAAAACATGATTCACATCTTTTTATTTTCTTGATGACTCCTAGAAATATTATACCTCTTTGTTTAATTTTTTCACGAGCTATTTATGTATTCTTGTTTCACCATCAATTATGATTTATTTTAATATGAGAATTTGTAAATCTCGCACGAGTTATCTCTATTAATTTTATTTAATGGTAATAGAATTATTAACATGCTACCAGCTCGTAGCCTCGTATTGACCATCAACTTGATCTGCCTCTGCTCAAAAGAACCTTAACTTCACTTTGATATGAGTGTACAACATTTATTGACTTTGTTGTTTCAACCAATTATATCGTATTGTCGTTACATTAGGAATTTTCCTTGTGAAGAGAGCTTTTCAATGTTCCTTTATTTTTCTTACCTTGAAAAAAAAGGTGGTATTGTCCGTATGTCAGTTTTTTATACTCTTATTTCGCCATGGTCATTTTTGTTTTTAAATAAAACGCCACCAATATTTTATCTGCCAGGAATATATTGATGTACATTTATTTTAATTCATGAAATCATGCTTGTAATCGGATATCTGTAAATTGTCAGCTGTATTATCTCTAATAAATGTTCCAGCTAGTGAGTCAATACTCAAAGTCTCAAAATAGAAATAATCTGAATGCAATTCCTAATAATAACTTTACTCTTTTTGGTTAATTTCCAGCTGTATATTGCTATGTGTAGTTGCCCTAGTTGTTTACTAGTTGATCCTTTCTTGGGCCTCAATCATTCCCTATAGTCCATATATTGTTATAAACTAGGTCATTTTCGAACCACATAATGGTAATATTATTACTCCATAACTAAGTTAGCTAGCTATATTATTCACATAATTTATCTCACCTATAACTATTACACATAATTGTCGAAAACAACATTAAAGTTCGTTGCACATAATATCGTAATGGAAACAATCTACTACACACAAAAGGCTGGAACAAAAATGCTCGGATTTGTATCAAAGAATACTTCGGTAGTGAACATATAATTATAATTTTGGTTTACATTATACGTTACTCATCCACTATTTTTTTTTTCCTAAAACCTAAGACTAATAAAAAAACACGACGCACCTAATAAGTCGTTACACTCTTCCTATAACAATGTGATGATTGGTAGAATAAGGAATAATCATAGGAGAAGGAAGAGGCTTAGCAAAGTAAGTAGGGTTATCATTACCGGCCATAATCACAACAAATTTAGACTCATTTTGGCTCGCCGGGGCCGGTAAATTCGACGTCGTTTTTCGAGTTCCATCTACATTATTGTTGCCATTTGAGGAAGAATATTTTCTGAAAGAACAAGCTAAGATAAGTAAAGCCATAGCAATAAGACATAACATAAGTGCTAAACCACCAAATAGAAATGGTACGGGGTTGTTCCACGAACGTTGTATAGCTGTCGCGGCGTCATCTACCGTGGTGTTGTTGCCCTTAGAGGTCGTCATGGTTGCATTCTTCATTATCATACTGTCGTTCTCTTTCCCTTTCTTAATCGTCTTAATTTTTTTCTCTAATTAAGGTGAATAATAAGATGGTAATGTATTTAGGAGAAATGATGATTTTTTTTATGTAATCAAAATGATTTGTTAATAATTACTTTGCTAGCTTTTTATAGAGGGTTTATTGTTAGAATGTTGTACAAGTATTAGAGACGTGATTATTTATGAGAATTACTGAATTACCCTTGTATACATGTAAGATGAGATTAATAAGGAAAGGAGGATTCTTACTTGGGCACTACTCATTCTTTGGTATTAACGACCCTTGGAAATTTCTAAGAAGTTGCCACATTTGATGAAATTTGGTTGTTAAAAAAAAAAAAATTGAATACTCCGTATTTGAAATTAATGATCATTGCAAAAACATGATCGTATCGCCACATTTGTTGTCCTATATTTAAGGAATTTATTTTATGGAAAAACAATTAATAGGAACTGTAAAATTACGGACTGTATGTTGAATTTTGAAAAAAAAAAAAAAAAAAACTTTGTAATTTAGTATTTCCTCCGTCCTTAATTATATGTCTATTTCTTTCATTTATTACTCACGTAATAGAGTGAAGTAGGCATATAATTAAGAGATGGAGGGAGTACTTATTATGTGCAATGCTTTTAATCAAGATGATACATATAGTACTACTAAATCGACCAATTAACCAATTATTTTGTCACTTGATTAACAATGAATATCAAATTATATCAATTAATCAGAGATTTATAATTTAATAACCTCAATTACAATAATTGATACTAACATGAACGTACATTTTTATTATGTCTTGCATGTCATGTGTTCAATACGCCAATTACATTAATCAAACCATTTCCATACTTATTACTCCCTCCGTCTTTTTATTAGATTTTAATTGTTTGTTAATTAATTAAGAATGAAAGAAATTTCATGTTGCTTGAATGATGCAAAACAACAACGGAAAATAATAAAGAGGAATCAAGTATGAATATAATTTTGATTTAGGTCCCTAAAAAGTCTAAGAAGCTTGTAGAATTTGCTTTAACCTATACACTACATATCCAAATTAATTGGACCCACTAGACGTGTTTTTTGGGTCGAAGCATATAATTTCATGTTGATTTGCTTACGCAAATGATTTGATTCAATTTTAGATTATAATCCATTTTACAATTCACTAATAGTTTTATGGCACTAAAAGGTATCTTTCATTTTCAATTCCTCAATTTAAAACCATAATATAATCGATGTCTTAAAGTGACAACCAATCTATTGTTGAAGGTCATTTGATAAGATCTTGATACATTTTATATATGTTGATTTATTGTTGAGCTTATCTAATTGAAAAATGAATTTTAAAATACAGCTAATCAATTGGAAAAAATTTCATTGACAACAAAAGCGTATAATAACTTATTAATAATATAGTAGGTTTATATGGACTAGTTAGTAGCTTGGAACATAGATAAACAAATTGATTTGAGATATTTCTAGTGACTAATTATTCGATTTATTTGGCCTTTTAATGGAGCTAATATAATGAAACAGAATTATAATAATCTTTTGATATCGAATCCTTAATCATCAAGCCGTACTCGACTTATAATGGTATGATTTATGACGGTCCAATTTAATTACGAGACACATAACACATACTTTTTGATAATAAATTACGTTAATTTCTCAAACGAATACCTGTAGCCAATAGAATATGCATTTGTTGGTTTAATGGAATCCGTTTTTCATATTTACTAAAGATGACTTTGAGTATAAGTTTATGCAAAATAAAGAACATTTAGTTGGTAGATTAAATGGTGTATAAAAAACAAGGTGCTCCCATAGTCCCATGGGAAAATTGTTGGCCGAAAGTAGACAAGTTGACAATAAAATTATAGCCAATGATGAACAACAATTATTTTGAGTGGAAAAGTGCGTAGGATTTGGGATAAGGATGAACCGATTAATGAAGGTTCAAAAAAGAAAGAATGAAAATTAAATTATCATCACCAATTGTAACAATTATAAATGAGATAATGAGAGATATTGGATGAGCCCAATATACAATACAATAGGCATATGATTGTTCGTTGGGCCACCAACATAGCCGTTGCCCATTGCACTAGGTTAGGCTAGCTTAAAGATAATAAATTTTTTGATCATTTAAGAAAGGATCAAAATTTTGGTGAGCATGCATGGGATGACTAATGGATGCATAATTTGCTTCACGGTTAGCTTCTTGGTATATATGATCGGTGTTATATACAATATATTCTACAATTTAACCAGCTTAATGGTTTATTGTATTAGGTTAGTTTTGATTACCGTCATCGAATATAATTCAATTTTTATTCCAAGCTAAGATTCATCATTTCTTTCTAATCAACACTTTAGATTTGCGGACCTTTGTCCTAAATCACCATTATACTTTGAGCTATCCTAAAAATAAAAAAGAATTTTCAATTATTGAGTACACTACATTGTAAATTTCATAAATAACATACTCCTTATTAGTATGATTGTGTCTCTTGTATGTGGCCTAATTGCATTATTTTGCTCGGTGAAAATGTCTAATATGATTAAATCTCCTATATGGTTGAATAAAATCACATCTTTAAGCGAAGTTTATGTGCTATAGTCAAATCTAAAATATGTTATTTAAATCTGTTCAATATAATAATTTGGTAACATAATAGATAGAGTCTATGATAATTCCTCGAATATTAGAGGCTTAAAAGACCCTTTTGATATAAGTTGAAAGAACAAGAGCGGTCGATCAACTACGAAATGTGCCAGAAGAATGAGATAATAACCATATACGGAGTAAAAGGCATGAACGAGACCAAGTAAAAGAAGTCGATCAAGATTAAGAGCGGTCGATCAAGTACGAAATGTGCCAGAAGAATGAGATAATAACCATATACGGAGTAAAAGGCATGAATGAGACCAAGTAAAAGAAAAGAAGGCGATCAAGATTAAATTAAGGGTATAAAGATTGAAAAATAATCCTAGAGTTAATGAAACAAAAATTTGGGAAATGATTTTGGTACACCAAAATTAATTTTGACATTTTCTATACTCTTCTCATATGAGGGTGTGCCTAAATCAATTAACGATGCGTCAAAATCAATTTCCAGAAATTCAATGAGATTAAAGAGTGAAAGTGAGGTTTTCAAAAAAAAAAAAAAAAAAAGTGAAAGTGAGAATAAAACGATGAAAAATTGATGATTATTTTTGGAAAACGGGGCAAACCGCAAACGTACTGTGCATGAACAGCATGACAGATGACTCAGAGTATACTGAAGGTACTTGCTGATGAAAATTACAATCAAAGTTATCAAACATTCACGATTCACGAAATCTAAAAAATTCCCAGAAACCAAAAGGTAAAATCTTTGATTCATTGCTTACTCAAATTTGCATAGTCCATGTTTTAGCGGTGATTTGTGGAAATAATTCTTCATTCTTGTGTTTTAGTATGAACAGTTTTATACTCAATTGGCCAAAAAAAAAAAAAATCAGCTAGTTAACTGATTCTGTCCTACTCTGAACCAATTTCTGTTGTTTGTTGAATAATCCAAAAGAATCAGCAGCCTCTCAATTGGGTTTGGTTTATTTAATTGTGGGAAATGATTTATATTACATGGGTATTTGATTATTTATCTAGGGTTTTGGTATTTTATACTTGTATAATCATATTACAATGTTTGTCAATTAGAATGTTGATGACCTAATTGAGAAATTGGAAAGGGGAATACACTAGTAAGTTGCTATTAAGGGAAAGAAAAAGTCATATAATGATGATTTTGTAATTTTTGGTATAGATGTCAAGCTCAAAGTCTTCAAACTCAAAAAAGAAGGGGGTTAATATGATCAGGTTACTGAAAGGAGCAACTTGATTCCCCTGATGATAACGAAGGCAAATTGGAGCGCGTTGAGATCATATATCCTATTTGATATGCTACCTTGTGTAAGAATTTCTTCGAATTTCAACTTGAAATTATTCATGTTTGATCGATGTTAATTGATGTTTTGAATAGGTAATTTTGTAATATGAACTAGAAATTGTGGTGGTAGCAGGTAGCTTGCTAGTTTGAGATTATTTGCATGTATAGCTCATAGAAGAATAACTTGTTCACTATAGTGTTTATTGATGTTTTCAAATAGGTGATTTGGCAATATGAACTAGATATTGTGGTGGTAGAGTGCTAGTTTTAATTTATTTGTCTGTTTGGCTCATAGAAGATTGACTTATTCACTATAATGTTAATGAAGAGCCGGTCCCGAGTTGCAGGAGCAAGGCTGTATAATGTCTACATGTGACCACCATTAAGTGAGAGGATAAGAGTCATTGTGGACGATATACCAGTGAAGAGTGATTGAGTTTAGCTATTGCATTTGTGCATAACTTGAAACGTTGCTTTAATTGACATTGAGAAAGTTCGTGTGCTCTCCCTTAAATTAAAGTAATTTGAAATTTTCCTTTGTGTCTTAGCCAGTTCTTTAATCATGCTTTTTGTTTGCTCGAAATTGGTAAGACCAATCCTGTTATGGCTATCCTCAATTAAATATGCATGTGTTGCTTCAGTGACCTAGGAATGGCCCAGGAATAATTTTGGTAGATTGAGAATATGAACTTCCCAAATGACACAAGGTTAGATAAACAATATCCTTACAGCATATGGGCTAGCAGGATATTAAGTTGGAACTGGTAGTCATGCTTTGAGTATAGATGAAGTTGTCAATGGATGTCCATCTTTAGGCACAGTAGTGGTGAACTTAACTTTAAATTTGCCTCTTTGGTACATCATCGGTTTTGGATTTCTGCTGTTTTTCCCTTTTGTGGATATTATTCCATCTAGCTTACATATCACTTTGGTTTTGGTATAAAGTTCCTTTTCTTTTCAACTCCTGCCACTTGCTGCAATTGACGGTTCGTATCTTGTTCACCACTGAAAAAAGCCATTGTCCAAAGGCCGGTCACCTGGTAAAAAGTGTATGCCACTTCACAGGTATTTGAGTAAGTTGGTTGCACTGGATGTCCTGGATCTTAAGGATCCTGAATGCTTTCCAGCAGCGTAAACTTGGTGATTAGGGTAAATATGGGAGCTTAAATGATCAAGTTGCAAAGTCTGACAGATTGTACGAGTCTCTCAGAATGTCGATAAAATGCCCTTTATCCATTGCAGTTGACAAAGTTTAAGCAACCTTCGTATTTTTCGAAAAGAAACATTTTTAGTGGAGCATATAGCCTCATCAATTCACCGTTCTGCAGATTCTCATCTTCTATACACACTGAAATTGTTGCAGCAGTTAATGGTTCTTCTGAAGTCATCTTGGATGTCTGTGACAATATGAAATAGCTTCTGTAGTTTGCTGGACTTGGTATCACATGCATTGACTGATTGACATATTCTCTTAGTATTGTTAACTATAGAGGATGGATGCAAATATATTTTTCCTATCTAGAGTAAGAACTATGTAAAAGTAAAATAAAGTGGCCTTGGATTTTCTTGAGGAGGGCATTTGGTGGTTAAAAGCCAAATTTTACAGAAAAGAAAGTCAATTTTTCCACTGTTTACATTGAGATTTTTAGCATTATACCTTATCTCCACTGAGTTGTGGATTTTTGTTCCTTTAGATAGCTTTTGGTTATCTGCATTTGCTTCTATTCTGAATATTGATATTGATTATTCTGTAAAATTCAGTGGCAAAGTTTTCATAGTGCACTTTATTCTTAAAGCTAATTTATGGCTGTAGGGGGGTTAACATGTTTTCTGTAATACCTCTGCTTCTGTTCTCAGTCTTCACACACTAGTTATTGTCACTTAGGCACTATCTGTTTTGAAGAGACATATTTTTTTATCAAAGCATTTCTGTACCAATGAAAAAAGAAATTAAATGTAACTAGGTTTATCTGATTCATTGCAGGGGTCTAATATTGAAGGCCTGTTCAGTATGAAGTTTCTTCCGAACTGTGAAAGGTAATATGTAAGTGAACTATTTCAAGTGTTGCGCTTGTTAATATTGTAAACATCTACATTAAATTACACCAATTACTCTGGGAGAGGAGTGAAGCGCATGCACACATCCTTACCTCTGCGATAACATCAACATGCTCTTCGCAACCCTAAATTTAAAAGTAAATATTTCAGGACTCGCAGCTTCTTGTATATTGCCTTGAATTAATCCTTTAATGTACTGTCATAACCTAGCAATTGCTTGTTCTGTGGCTCCTCTTGAGTGATTGATTTAATGAAGAAAGCATGTTATATATACTTGTTTTGTACAATTTTACACAAAAAAGACGTAAGAATAACAAGACAACATATTAGTAACTAAGAACATATAGGTCAAGACTGATAAAAAATAATGAAGATTTAATGGTAGCACAACCAACTCCATTTAAAATATCACCTAGATTGATCAGAAGGATGGCACAATGCCATATCCACCGTCTGACATCAATGAGTTGGTGAACATCTGGTCCATTTCTGCTTCAACATCTGTTCTCTTCGCGAACCGGCCTTTGATCCGAGGTCTAGTCTCTGCATAGGCCTTTCTTGAAGCATAACGGATAGTCTTCTCAAACTTTCTATTCTTCTTCTTTTCTCTGTATCTCATGACCCTGGCCTCTCTGTCCAGTGGTGATAATTGAGTTGGCACTTGCATTGGAGGGCTAGAAAATAGGTCGATTGTTCCTTTGGGGGGCCTTGGATGTGACACAGACATATCGCTCATGGTGGATTCTGGTACGACACCCACATCTAGTGAGGAAACTGAAACCTGCAAGTCATAAAATTCTTGGTCAGATTACTGAGAAGTGAAAAGACTGAAAACTAGCATATGTATATCATGTGAGGAATACAAGGAAATTCTTATCCTAGAGAGAAGTTCTACTTTGGCTGATTTCTGATGCATAACAATTCATCTTTAATCAAGTTAACGACTAACATAAACTCATAAAGATCAAGAAGATGTGGGGAGCTGTAACTACTGACTAGTGATATCCTTTTGTTAGATCTATTAAGTTTTTATCTTTGAGTTGGAGATATTGAATTAACCCATTTGTAACTACAGAATATTCTTTTAAAACATCAAATTTGAACTCAGTATTGACACTGAATCTTTCATGTGACAGATGTATTCAACAATTGTAAGATCTGTCACAAACAACACATAAAGTATGCCTAATGGACCAGTTAGATTATTTCTGCAAGATGTATTCCTTCAAAGGAAGGAACTACAGTGATCAAGAATAATTCTAATTGTGGTTAAAAAAGAAGGATATAACACAGCAGTTCTGTTGATGCTCTATCTTATTTCATTTAGTTAATTGTTTCTCATCTTTTTTCTTTTTGTGTAATATAATAATTTTCTGGTGAGAGCTAATTCTTGTAACTTTCTGTAATATACTTTTAAGGTTGACATATAACATAATGAGTTAAAGACATAATTTTATAATAGAATAATGCTATGTTAGAAGTTGACTATATATAGATGGCAGGATTTGCAGAAAATGGAAAGCTTTCTATTTAAGCAGAGAATCTACTTACACTGTGACTAATTGATGTGTTGTAATTGTACTCAGATTTGGTCTCACATTCCATCCCAAACAAAAAGTTCTGATACTGTATTTGGTGATCTTTTCCTTCTCTACACTGAACTGGTACGACGCTGTCGCCTCCACAGCTCTTCTCAGGGACACTGAATTCCTGCTGCTGGTTATACTGCTCACAAAATTGATTGTCTGCAGCACCTGAATTATACTCAAAGAGGTCCAGGTACTCGTCAACCTCTCCTCCTCCAGTTAAAAACCCATTTGTAGTTAGCTTGTTGCTGTTCTTACCTGGATTAAGTAGCAACCATGAAGCAGCTTCATCCTCGTCCCCTTCATGATCAGTGGTCTGATCATCTCCCTCTGCCAGGTCCAGGAATCCGTCCTCAGACATCCTTCCATCTGAGGGGCCATATGTACAACCGACGGGCATAATTGGGACCCGGTGGTGGCGGCGAGCCAATGGGTTAGCTGAGTGAATGTCAGCATCACAGGTAGCACAGAGTGATGCTGCATCAGCCTTGCACAAAAAGGCTGCTGGTGCACGTTCACACGCTTCACACACCCAAACCCGCTCATGCCTCGATGCCAACTGATTGGCAGCGTGAATCCGCGCGTCGCAGCTGGTGCAAAGGTATGCAGAGTCTGCTTTGCAGTACACGGTGCACGGCGCTGAACGGCACGTGTCACAAGCACGTGCCCAGCTATTGGTATCCCCTCCTGGTATTTCCTTCTTCATCATCTCTCTTACTCTTTTTATCTGTCTCTCTTTCTTTTTTTCTTTCCCTCTCTTTTTTTTTTTTGCTTGTTATCCCTGATGTGAATTCTAAGCAAATGTGTTTAGCTAGAAAAGAGGGGGGGAAGCGACTGTTATGCAATGACTCAAGTGGGGAGGGGAGAATCCAGCAAGCGACACGTGGCAAGTACGTAGTGGCGGTAGAAAGCTGTTGCTTTATCTTGTGGCTGGCTATGCTTTAAGTGGGAGCCACAGGTATTGGTGTTCATAAGGTCCTACAATTTTGCTAGTATGGCCTGCCTTGTGGAACTATTTGATTATATGAGGACCACAAAAGGCATACTTAAGGGCATGAAAGATGCAATGCTTTATTTTTCCTTTTTCTCTTTAAGTGTGTCTCTTGGACCCTTTGGAGTGACACAAGGATTCCTCTTTGTTTGTAGGCAGCTGACTGCCCATACCATATCCTGCATATTGACACTCTCTTACCACGTGGTGTTGTTTAAGGTTTTTGTGTCAGTTGCAGTGTAGGTTGCTAGGAAAGTTATGTTAGTTGGACTAAATTTGGTTAAAACTAGAGTATAATTTTTTAGTTCAATTATTGGAATTTTAGTTGTATTTCTACAATGGTTTGCTTGCAGCACTCATTTCTTCTTCTATCTTATCCTCTGCATCATATCTGGTTGTTTGCCGTAAACGGATTGTGTCATAGCTTTTTGAATACATTTATGACTGTTTTGGCCTAATTCATGATCTTTGAATATATATGTATATACACACAGCTAGATTGTTTATTTTTGATCCATATGAATCTATGTCATGTCACAGGTGAATAATAGATGTTTCCATAACACATCTTCAAGCTATGGAGACCGACCTTGTTAGAGAAACTCTATTGTGGTATATGAGTTCTCATACTACCAGGCTTGGGAGGACTTTTCCCAATTTTCGGCCTATAATATAACCAGGTACACTGTTTCAGGCCAAGACATGATTTCCTTTGTTGGCCGCGGCCTAGTCCATGATCAGCTCTTAAACACAAGTAAACTTGGATTTTCTGAATCAGGTCTATGGAATGTCTTAGTGTCTTACTACTTATATCGTTATATGTACTCAATTCTGCATCTAATCAGTCACGATTTGTTAGGAGACAATTTTTGTGGTGGAGATTTCTTCTATGAACTTATTGAATGTGATTTACTTTAAAAAAGATGAATTTAATGATTATCTTGAATGGCAACTACCATGATTTTGAAGTTTATGCTGAATTGCTGACAACCTACAGTTTACCTTCAACAATCACAGGAATTCAGTGGGAATGACTGTTAAGATACAGTTAGTTCTGCAAGGGTTAAAATGAAATAAAAAGTGAGTCAGAAAAGTAAAATAAAAGGGCTTGGCTTTTCCAATAATATGTATGATTTTTATTTTTGTAGAAAAAAAATTTGATTGGTAAAAAAGGTGATTTTTGATACCGACATGACTAACCTTTTCCAAATTTGTTATGGAGTCTATTCAAAAAAAAATAAAATAAAATAAATGTTATGGAGTAATTTTTTAAAATTAGTTTGATTAAAAAAAAAAAAAAGAATATATGAGTGGGATTCTGCAATTTTCTATATACAACTAGTTATACTTTGAACATGATACAATGAATGTTCTTTCTTCGGCTACTTGCTTTTTTACCTTGTGAGCACCTAGACAAAATAGATACTCTAAGGGCCTGTTCTCATTGACTAAATTGAGCTGAGCTGAAATGAATATTTTATAAAAGAAGAAAAATAGGAACTGAGCTGAGCTTAGCTGAACTGAACTGAATTGAATTTCAACGTAAGAAAACATGTCCTAAGTTATATTATACAACCGGTTATAAAATGAATATTCTCATAAAATTTCGAATTTATGCCTTTAAACACAAATAAAAGCGAATTAATTTTCATAAAAGAGTTGGTGTTGAAAAAATTGCTGAGTCAGACAATTTTACTTGGACAAGAGAGGTTTAAAATCAATATTATCATGCCATGTAGGCAACTACAAGATTAGGATTCTTTCTTACCACAAGTTTGTTCATCATACTTTGATATTGACATTCATGTTTATCATATACCCTACCTATTCTTGTCAGCCTGGATAATCATAAATCTTTCATCACATTTTTGTTTTTTTATTCCACTTTTTTTTTTCTTTTCTTTTTTTTTCTTTTTTTTTTTTTTTGGACATAGAAATTGGTAAATTCACTAATTAATAATTTCTGTAACTGGTTTCAAAAAAAAAAATGAAAAAAAAAAGGAAAAAAAAAAAAAGAGGAGTCTTTGATATTAAGAAGATAATTTCCTTGCAAAAAGGGTGAAAAGGGTAATGAATGACCAATTTAACAGTTTTGAATAACATTCTTAATTTTAAAATGGAATCTAATTTTCCTTTTAAAAAAATCTAATTTATATCCATTCTTCATAAAAATACTCTCATTAGCTAACTTTTTGAATGGAACGGATTAGCTAACTAATTTATTGTTTCAAAAAAAAAAAAAAAACTAACTAATTTATACTACGATTTCTTTTTTTAAATAGACATGATTTATAAATCAAACTATTAGTTTGCATTTATTAAAATTATCACTATAATTCATTTGAATTGTCCCCTTCAATATAAATGCCAAGTTTGAAAGAGCTACAAGCCTACAAGCTAAGCATGTATACGACCATATTTTATCAAAGTTCAAAGAAAACAAATTAAATTAACTAGATTAAGTCTCGTGTCACACACGGATTTAACAAAATATTATAATATTAATTCAAAATCTATCAAAAAGTAATCCTCATATTTTAAAATAAAATTGAAAAGGTTTGAATCTTACTTTATACTCAGAATTGAGCCTCGAATTCAGATTTTACCAAAAGTAGAACACCAAAAAAAGTAAAAGATGTAGAAAAATATTTTATACAATGAAAATATGAAATATATGTGAATATTTTTATATGTCAATTTTTTTTAGGTAGCGAATCACAATTATATAAAGAAATGAATATTTTTTCTTAGGAAGTGAAAAACAAAACAAAGAAAAAAAATTTTTGAAAGGAAAAAAACAGCATCAAGAAGTGACACGTGTCATTCTTGGTTTCTGTTTTAGTATTATGTTATTGATGATTGTCCACTTTGAGCCTAGCTCGCACTGATTTGAATCTTAATTTATATTCGGAATTGAGTCTTGAATCCGGATTAGACCAAACGTAGAACACCAAAAAACAAAGTTAAGATGTAGAATAATATTTTATACAATAAAAATATGAAAAATACGTGAATATTTATTTAGGAAGTGAATCACAATTATATAAAAGAAATAAATATTTTTTTTTAGAAAGTGAATAAAAAAACAAAGAAAAAAAATTTTGGAGGAAAAAAAAAACAGCACCAATAAGTGACACGTGTCATTCTTGGTGTTTGTTTTAGTATTATGTGTTATGATGATTGATTAAAACATTCTTGGAGCTCCTTGTTAATCAATTAATTAGCTTGACTCAATAATTTGTGGAAAAACTATAAATTTCCTATCTCCTAGGCACAAGTTTTGGATTTTTTTTTTTTCATCTTATATTATACAAGCCTACAAAAGAGGGAAGATATCTAATTTCATTTTCTTTGAGTCAATTTAAGGGAGTTTTGTTTTATTAACACCTGCAAAAAAAAGACATGAAAACATGACATTGATAATTGAATTATTTTCATCCATAAACCAGATATTAGAGTGTAAATTGATAGATTTCTAACCCAGAAAATCAACAATTGGGGAGGTGATATTTAGACCACAAATATGTTTGGATAAGGCTTTCAACCTAATAAGTTTGATTGCTTGGCAGAAAATTACTTGGATGGGGTGTTTCATACTTTTATTTATGCTATTGTCAAATCATGTGGCGTAATAGGATAAGGATCATCCAATCATATAACTTTCTTGGAAAAAAAATGAGTACATTTTTTTTAGTTGGTAAAATCATGGGAAGTCATTAGAGGTGACAAAAAAAAAAAAAAAAAAAAAAAAAAAAAAAAAAAAAAAGAATCCAAATTGTTTTGGGACGGTTCAAGTATTGATTAAGTCATGTATATTAAAGTTTCTAGTTAGATTAGCTAAGGTCAGATCAATACAAATGAGAATTAAGTCATGTATATTAAAGTTTAACTTAAATTAATAGAATGTGAACAAGTTTTAAAGTTCAAAAGTGGTACGGTTGGTACCTAAATTTTGAGATTGAATTATATTCGCATCACATTCATTTGTAAGAACTCAGAGAATGAATAGGTACAAATTTCTTTCATTTGGATAATTAGTTATTCCTTGATGCTTCTAAGTTCTTATATAATCGTAGCATGCACATTAGCATTTAGCATATAAGTATATGCTTAATCATCTTATATATGCTGGAAATTGTGGAAAAGTTACGGTTCATAAAGCTGACAATTACATAACAAAAGAACCATATATTACTAAGATGGGCAAGATCTGACCAAAGCTAATTGACCAAAAAGAATAAAAATAAAAAATAAAAATTAACAAAAAATCGAATTGTATTGTTTTATAATTGTACAATATACGAGTATTATAAAAGTTTGTGTAAAAAAAAAAAAAAAAAAAGTAAAGTAAAGTGATACTTCAACTGGTGATAAAGCCAGAAAAGAACCTCAACAAACTAATTAAATACATAAAATTACGAGTAATGTTAATTAGAAACTCAACATAAAATAATTTGTACTTATGAACATAAAACGGGAAAGGTATGAATAATTTAGTCAAAAACTCAAACATATATGCAAATTAAAAATCTCAAACATAATTTCCCGGCTCACATTTTGGATGTTGCAAACAATGATCTTTTAATCTAAGTTCCCCTTTGTGGGTGTTTTCAAAAAAAAAAAAAACTGATTCTTTTACTCAACAAAAGCGAGTATTAGTTTAAAACTACACCTTTCTTAGGGCCTGTTCACATTTAATTAATTTCAGTTCAGTTCAGTTCAGCTCCAATCAGTTTAGTTCAGTTCAGTTCAGATCTTAATTTCCCTCTTTCATAAAATATTCATTTTTGCTCAATTCAGTTCAGTTCAACTCCAATCAGTTCAGTTTAGTTCAGCTCTAAATTTCCCTCTCGTAAAATATTCATTTCTGCTCAATTCAGTTCAGTTCAGCTCCAATCAGTTCAGCTCTTAATTTCCCTCTCTCATAAAATATTCATTTTTGCTCAATTCAGTTCAGTTCAGCTCCAATCAGTTCAGTTCAGTTCAGTAAATGTGAACATGCCCTTAGCCTAAGTGTTATTATTAATGCACCATTTGTTATGAATAGCTATGATTTTTAAGTTGGTATTATTCCAAGCAATTGTTGTTGTTGAAGTAAATAATTCTAGTTCTTGTTTCTAGATTAGATGATTTGTAGTATTTTCTACTTTTCTTTGAAGGTTATAGTAGGAATGTTATGATATACTTCCTTCATTTCTATTTAATTGACGCGTTTGATTTAGGCACATAAATTAAGGAGAGGAGAAAGAGTGAGAGAGAATGAAAAAACAAGTGGAGTAGCTTGTAAATGAAAGGAAAAAAATTTACCCCAAAAAAAAATGTGTCAATTAAAAAAAAAACTTTCTAAAAAAGAATACGTGTCAACTAAAAAGAAACGGAGGTAGTAGCTATGATTAATACATCTTGAGGTAGGTCATATCACTTATATGCCTTATATAATGCTATCTCTTTATTGTACACATCACCGAGTACATTGAAGAAAAAAGACACAAAATGAGATAGAATTGAATAACCTTATCAAAATGGTTACTAATACAAATTGTATCATGGTATCTTTTTCCTTTTGATTCCCTATATTTTTCTTTTAAAAATACCATGTAATTAATTGTCAAAACCAACTCAACCAAGAAGGACTATCGATTATGATTCTTACCTCAGATCTTAGAGGTATAGGGTTCAAATATTATCAAGTAAGGGTGGTTTAGGGTAAATATGTTTTTACCTTCCCCTTTACTAAAAAATGTCTAGCCTGAAAATACAAAACCAAAGAACATGAGAAGGTTGATATCTTGTCAAGTTGTCATGTCCATTTTCCTTATCATTAAAAAAATGTGCTTAACTGCCACATGGCAGCATATCAAAATGATAAATTTATTCTTTTAAAGTTTAAACATCACTTTCCTTCAACCATGTATTTTTATAATCAACTCATATAAAGATGCTTCGTTGTTTAAAGAATTTTAGATATCCAACATGTTAAATGTTTAGATATTGTCTTATTTTACCATGTATTTGATTAAAGTTTCCCTTACATTTAGTTTAGAAGACTGGTTGAGTTATGAACCTAGATTTGAGTTGAATGTCCGAAAATGAGAAGGAAAAAAATATATTTTTCATTAAAATGAAATCATTTATCACTAAAGGGATTATATAATTTGTACTTAATACGAAGTACATGAAAGGAATTATATAGAGTATCTATCAAAAAAAATAAAATAAAATATTATATTAGAGTGCAAAAGTCTATGTATTAGAGCTACTCTACAATAATTTGCATGGTGCTGTTGGAGAATGGAGATAGATACCAAGACCAATTGGTCTTGGCTACACTCTAGTGCAGCCAAGATAGCTACAACAAGTGAGGCCCAAAATGCGCAGCCCAAATAAAAAATGAACATTTAGTTAAAAAATATGAACATGAAAAAAATGAATATTTAATAACAAAAAATGAACACGTAAAAAAATGAACATTTAATACTAAAAAGTTTATATGTTATAAGGAAATGATCATTTATTAAAAATGAATCTGATTATCATATAATCATAAATTTGCTATACCACGACCTTAAAAATGAACATTTAGTTAGAAAAATGAACACATAAAAAGAAAAAGAAAAAAAAAGAATATATAGTAATAAAAATGAACACGTAAAAAAATGAACATTTAGTAATAAAAAGTGAACATGTCAAAAAAAAAAATGAACATTTAATATATTAGAAATGAACATTTATCATACAGCCATAAGATTGGGATCATATACATCAGAAATTCTCCAACTTAAAGGCAAATTCGTTGTAATATCATATACTTCTTCATCACTTCTTACTTGTTTCTTCACTAATTCAAAGTCTTTGTCTTTTGCAAATACAATTAATCTGTACTCACTAATTTATAACAAATAATCAAAATTTATAACCATCACAACATATGTTCATAATAATTATTTAGAATGTTCATAATATATAATCATCAATACATTAGTTAAAAATATAAATAATTATCGCTTTATACGTCATATGTGTTCATAATCAATAACAGATATGTTCATAATGAATAACGAAACATATATATTCATAATAAATTGTTCAGAATTTCAACACTAAATGTTCAGATAATTTAACTTTCAACGTATTATATTTTACTTTCAACTTAATAAAAATGAACATTTAGTATTAAAAAATAAACACTTATAAAATGAACATGTAACAAAAAGTTATGAACATTTAGGATATTAAAATGAACATGATTTTCATAAAGGTTCAAATTCATTGTATATAATTATTAATGAAAAATAATGATAAAATAAATTGTTGAAATATGTTCATTTTCGGTGTACTAAATGCTCATTTTGTAAAAGTTGTTCATTTTTAAATTCCTACGTGTTCATTTTTTTTTTTACAGAAATTATATTCAAGACCGATTGTAATTATTGAAACTCTAAAAAATTGAATATACACCTTAAATCTAATCTTGATTCATCATGGAGAAATTAATTATTGATTTGTAACATGATTAGAAATCAAAAGAAAAAAAAAATCAAAAGAAAAAGAGAGAGAGAAAGAGAAAGAGAAAGAGGGAGAGGGGGGGGGGGGGGGAGGGAGAGAGAAAATAACTACAAATTAAGCAATACAATAGATATTCATTAACAATTAAGCAATTTAATTGATATTCATCACAAACTCATAATAATTTCAAACAATCAAACAATAAATCATCATGCATGGTCAACAAAATCATACAAAATACAATTACAAATTGATAAAATCTAACCTCCATTGTTTTCTTTGACCTTCAACTTTCTCTCTCCTCCATTTTTTTTTCTTTCCTCTTTGATAAAGCCAAATGATTGAATCTGAAACTCATAGATTTAGAAAGAAAGAAGTATACCCATCAAAACATGAATTAATAACTCAAAAATTTATATAAAAAAGAAGAAAACTTTAAGGATTGAAGGGAAATGAGGTAAAGAGGAGAGAGAAAATGTTAAATTGAGAAGAAAACTGAAGAGAGAGAAAAATAATAGAGCTAAGGAAGAAGAAGAAAGAGAATTAAGATATAAGGAAGAAAAAAAATGTATGTTCATTTTAACGTACTATATGTTCACATTTAATGGTGTTGCATACCAAGCCCATTAATTTTCTGTAGACAAATGGGCCTTCGATTAGGCCTTGTACGTTGCTGGCCCGAGAAAATTGCAACCTCACTAAATTCATTAAAAATAGAAAAATAAATCTTATGTTAAGTGTAGCAGAAAAAGAATAGTATAGCTTATTTAAAATAATGTTATTTTTTTGTACCAACATTTGAATTCTCATCAAAGAAGCTTTTTGCTTCAAGAGGAGGCATACTAAAACTTCTCCTAAGCATAAAACCTTCAAATGACTAACCACATTGTGTGGTCTACTAACATATAAGAATTGCATGCTCTTTGATAATATGAACTGCACTTATATTATTAACTTTTTTGTATAGTTTTTTTTTGTTTAACGGGACTTTTTTGTATAGACAAGTAAGATATGAATCATCAATTGGTGCAATTCACATTTATTGATCCGCAATTATAATCATTAAATTGATATGTTAACAGGTTACCTTTACAAAATCTATGTTATTAAATAATAATAATAATAATAATAATAATAATAATAATAATAATAATAATAATCTATTGGTGTAATTCACATCTATTGTTCCACAATTATAATCATTAATATATAATGGGGGTACCTTACAAAATCTATGTTAAATATTAATAAAAATCTTAGAGAAAAAAAGATTAAATTTTTGTATCATGCACGAATTATGCAAATAGTTATAGTTTTTCATCTTTTTGAAGAAGGACAATTCATAAACAATAACATTTACATTTTTTTTTAATATAATATAAGATGTAGTAGTTTTCATATATGAAATACCCCTATTAATTATCTTTCAATTCATATCACTAAGGTATTAACATTCCTGTAGGTACCGCTATCCAAATTATTTCCTCCTTCAAAATACATAGAGTATTAAAATTTAAGTATTTTCAACTCTATAGGCACCTAAATTATATATAAAAAAATATCATTTCTTAAATTTTCGGTGACAAGTTTTAATTACAGTTTTCAAAGTGTAATCCAAACAATGGGTAAAAAAATAGGAATGGAAAAAGTAATAAGTTCACATTTACTTATCAAACAAGATTTAGAACCTGTTCAATTCATTTTAAAAAAATTAATATTTTATAAAATTAATTTAGATTAGCAAATATAATACGAAGTATAAAATGTAAAAATAATTTCGGTAAAATAAAAATATATCACAATTTTTTTTTTTTTTTTTGAAAACATATATCACAAATTAATTCAATAAAAATAATTTTAATTTAGCAAATATAAGGTGAACTGAACGAGCTTTAATTAAATTGTAGAATATGGCCCAAATAGGAAAAATATGAACTTTACATAAAAAAACCCAAAAGTCGAAAACACATCATCCAAACTGAAAATGCGGCAATGGCAGATGTGGGTGTTTCCGTTTTAGTCACCATGCCGAACTATTCACTGTTCTCCGGTCACAAACATGGCTCCAATGGGTAGAATATCTCTTCCTCTTTATATAATAGCAATCTTTATGTCATTTTTTGTTGATTGGTGTTGCCAAAATTAGAAATTTGTGATTTTGATTTTGTTATAAATTTATGTAAATTAGACATGGATTTCGTTTGTGGGGTTTTATGGGTTTCGTTGAGTTTCTCTATAAGTTGAGATTTTGATGCTATATTTGATGATGGGTCTTTGCTCAAAAGATTAATCTGAATTGTGTTTTATGCTGTTGTTGTGTTCATGTTGTTTGTTTTTGTAATTTTTAAGAAGTTTTTGATGCTTGTTGAGGGCAGATAGAGTTGATATTGGTTATATGGGTTATTAATAATTTAATATGGGAATTAAGTGTATGTAAAATTCAGTTTATTGTGATAATAATTCTTTGTGGGTGTTTGAATCAATTATGTGTTGATTGAGAATTAGAAGATTGGTTCTATAAATACAGTAAAATACCCTTCATGTGATGATCAAGAGATTACATAATGTGAAATTAACCATGTGGGTTTCGACTTTCATATATGTCATTGAAGCCCGGGACTTGCATGTTAGATTTATATGATTATCGGAACAAGAGAAGGGTAGGCAAAAAACTGAAAAAGGAACTGACTGTTGGGTAGTCAGTTTTGTTACTGAGAAATGTGATTCCGACGATGTGGTTTATGGAGGATTTTACAGAATATAGGATTGAAGAAAAAATGCAGTGGCTCTTTATCTTGATTTTAAACCACATTGAACATTGCTATTTGATGTTTTTGGCTGATATATGCCGTAATTGGGAAGCAGTATTGGATCAAAACGCTCATATTTCTTTGTCTGTTCATGTTTTTTTGTTTTAAGCAGACTTGTTACTATGACTTGGACTTTGCATTATTTGTTGGAATTTCACGATCGGATTTGGTCCCAAATGGGCTCTTTTGCTCTTTTCGTCGTGAATTTGGTCTCATATAGCATTGGGACTCTTCAAAGTTAGTTATTGTTTAGATTCGTGCTACAGAAAGTAAGTATAACGACCAATAATTCTGAGGTTAGAAATTCTAGCTTAACTTGTAAATTTTCTGATTTTCAGTAATTTTGATCATAATCTTTTTGGGTGGTTTATGTACATGGAGAACCATACACATTCACTGTCTTGTATGTTATGATTCAAGTACGTCTAACAACTATTGACTAGTTATCTAGTAAACATGTTATGTAATGAAGTGTTGAAAACATTATTAAAATAATTAAACAATTAAATTAATTTATTACTATGTTTAATTTTACATGCATTCATTACCTCAATGAATATTAGCAAATAATAGAATTGATTTTAAAAAATAACTATCCAAATCTGATGCCATATTGTTATTATAATTATTATAACAATATTGATGCCTTGGAACCGCATCAAAATCTGTATATAAAAGTGTATATATATGAGTCAGAATATAAAAGTATGATTAATGAATGATAAAAAATTAAGATGGTAAGACTTCTAATTTATATTTCAGTGATCTTGTTTTCAAACTTATGATAAGCATTTTTAACTTCATTAGAAGATGTTTGTTGGTGAAAGATATTGGAAGGTGCCATGTGGCACATATTTTTTTTTTACCCGTTCCAAACTAACACTGCAGTTGATTATTGAAGCATTCAGGTCAAAGAATAAGTTAAGGGAGAAGTTTGGCCAATGGATTTCTTTTGTATTCTTTCAATCATCCCAAGTTCAAAAGTATTATTTGATTTGGTGAGTTTTTCTTTGTACACTATTCTTTTGGGGATAACTTTGGCTGTAACTATCCAATGCCTCTAACCAACGATGTGCAATGTTTTAGGTGTGCTGTTTTGGTAAAAATGAATATATCCAGGGGATTTTGGATGGAGAGTTTCTTGATGCTACTTCATCACTTTTCCAGAAGTTAGAAGGATAAGAGTTGTGCTTGTTCAATCACTAGAACGGTAATATATTCAAACAGTTCTAGTTGCCATTTCTATTTTTTTCATCGTGTATGATAGCACTATTGAAATATGTTATGATCAGGGACTCAGGGTTATCTTACCTTTTGTAATAAATAGAACCACAATGAAAAAAAAAATTTAGATGACAAGTTCTACTTTAGGACAAAATATCAAACTGCAATGTTAGGCAAAGACATTAAGGCCTGTTTAGTTCGCCTTATATTTGCTTATCTAATCTGGTCTGATCTGAATACATGTTAGATTTGACCAAACTTTGAACTTAAATATACGATAATCTATACGGAAAAAAGTATATCAAGTGGGGTCTTGTTAGATTCATAATAATGTGTATTTTATTAATATGTGATTTTCAGAATTTTATTTCGTCAAAAAAAAAAAGATTTTCAGAATTTTATTAATTACGAAATTAAAGATATTTAGCGATAAAAAACTGTACATAAAACGATGATCTGATCCGAAATTATTTTTTCTGATTTAATCTAAACTTATTTTTTCTGAAATAAGTAAAAATAAGGTGAACTAAACAAGGCCTAAGGAATGCTTCTGAGAACTTTATTTTCCCCCTTTTTTTCATCTAAATTTTTTACTCCCTTGTCCTGTAGTATAGTGTTTGTATTTCATTTTAGGTGTCCCAAAATGCTGTGCCTATCTCAATTTTTTTCTATCACCCTTGTTCTTAATTAATTAATTACATTGCCATTTTGAGCGTTCCCCTTTGTTGGTTTGGTTTTAATGATTTCCTGTATTAAAATAATTTTTTTTACACACTTTTCTCTATACATACTTCAATGCAACTATTCTCATTTATCAAAAAGTTTCCCTACTCTTAAAGCAACTATTCCTAGGGAAATTTACCTACCCCCAACATAAATATTCTTATTTTACAAAGTTGACTTAATGACTTGATATATATATGACAATTATTCATTGCTTTCCACTATCTCATCTTTCTGTATAACCACGCTAATTAAGTGTAGCAATCTTTCCGGAACGGATGTAGTACATATTTACCATAATATATCGATTTTTATACCTTTCCCATATAAAATACTCCGTACGAAGTTCCCCTAACATTTCCGTACCATTATTTACTTTTTTATTATTCCAATACAAAATAATCCTGTATCCAAAGCTTCATTAAATATTTAAATGCATGTTTGGTTATCTTGGAACAAAAAAAAAATTAAAAAAAAAAGACGTACAAGAAAAAAAAAAAGAAAAAAAAAAACAGAAAATGGTACACTTGACTAGAAAATGGTACACAGTCCTTAATTCTCGTGAAAAAAAGAAAAAAAGGGCAAATGGGCACTATATTTTGGGATGGAGAAAGTACTTATTTTTGTGTGTACGGGAAGTTGGCAAAATGTTGTATCGTATTGTATTTGTGTTTCATCTCGTGTTGCTCTTAAAATATGTTATTTTATAACATTATATAATTGCATGATTTGACCAATATAATTAAATGGGTTGTGTTCACGTTGGTTTCGTGTCGTGTCATGTTGACTTTGTGTTTCTTCTTAGTAATTTCGTGTTCGTATCATGCTGGTTACGGTCGTGTTGTTGTGTTGTGCCGTTCTAGGGGGGTTGAGGGGTTGGTGGGCATTAATGGCTTGTGCTTATTAGGAAAATTACATTTAAAAGATGATTTATTTCCTTATTTAATTGATTTTTTTCCTAATCTAATCAATAATTTCATTATTATTTTCTCTAGACACATTCTAATAAAAACCTCTTTTGTATGGTTATTGAATAGTCTTTGAACTTTCATCTCTCTGTCTTACACACAAAAAAAACTCCTTTCATTACTCTTTGGCATACTTCTTGGCGCATGGTGGTGATACCGAATACCGAGACTGTCCCTTGGTATATCTCTGTTACGATGTAATCTTTTCTCTTGTTGAATTAATTATTTTTGACAGATTTAATTTGTGAACTTTAGCATGTTTTCCGTGTTTATGTGATGGTACATGTTTATTTATAATAATAGGGCATAGACACCTATTAAGGCCTTAGAAATGATGCTCTGTATATCATTGATTGTTTCAGATGATGTATGTTTGTGTAAAGGTCTATAAGTTGGCCTTTGACTAGTAAAATTGTCGAAAATTATCTTTTTGTGCTGTAGTATTTGAATTTGCTTTGGATTGCACAATTGGTTGCGTAAACACTAAGGCTGGTGTCAGACTTTTACTGTCCACTTTTTGGAGCTTTCCCTCTTTCTTTTTTGACTTTACCCAAATTCAGATCGTTTAATTTGCTGATTGACCGAATCTAAAGTATATTTCTATGGTTGTGACTGAGAGAATGAATCTTTGATGTTGTGGCCTCATATCTTAATTTATAGTTCAATTGTCAGGCTACTTAATTACAAAAGCACATTTGAGTTATATCACAATTACTTTGCTCTGTGTTCAAATTGGTAAAAAGTCTTTTTTTTTTATTATGCATGGTTTCTATCATCTTTCAATTTAGAATTAGTGTTGAGTGTTCTTATGTCAAATTTAACTCTTAGTTGATTATCCAGTCACTATTAACCTGTAAGAGATGTTCTTGCTGTGCAATTAAGATTTCCAGACCGATCTATTAGGGTAAAGGGGTTAAATCTAATATTAGCTATTTTGAAGTTGAATAAAGATAAGATCTAGGTTGATGTTTAGCAGAATTTCAGTGTCATATAACATCATGTAGTTGCTTTGACTCGGACCGGCAGCCTTACTATAATATTTGATAATTTCTTTAATATCATTGTTTTTATGAATGATGTACACTAGATAAATTTTAGATGTATTTACGATTCATTGGAATGTTTTGTGACATTATACTGACTTTGATGTCAGGCTTTTCATTCAATCTCCTACGACTCAATTATTATTCTAAAATCTAAATCATTCTTTCTCGATATGATGGAATTGCTTTATAAACCGATATTTTACCTCTGGTGGTCGTTGACAAAGATCCCCTCTCACCATTCCCTTCCATCAAGTGCTATTCTTCAACTTTAATTTTCTTAGTCATCTTCTTCTAAAACTCCTATGATCCCATCTGTTCAATTTCCTTACCCATGTATCTTCTCACTTCTTCTGGTTTCCGCTTCACATGCTCATACCATCATAGTTGGTTTTCCTTTATTTTATCATTCCACAACACTTTCTTATCTGCTCCTCTTGCATATCCATAATCAAACTAAAACAGAAATTATGAGGCAAGAATGTTGTGACAAAAGGTTCTGTCTTCCCTGTTGGGTGTGGTCTGAGGACCATGTAGTTCAAGCTGTAGGAAGGTTAAAGTAATTGTTCATGAGTTCATGACCATCAGAATGCTCATGGACATGATTGGTGGGGGATGAGTGGCAAGACACTAAGCCAGAAGGCCCAGAAGGCTAAGAAAAGCAATTAAGGGCTTGACACATCTGTGTTACATGAGGACAACTGCCCTATATGGACTGTGTTGGGGTGTGTGTGTGTGTGTGGGAGCATGTAGGTCGTGTTTTTATGATTTTTAATTTGTGAGATTGACGTGCTAGCAGAGTTTACATTCTTGAAGTGTGTTAACGGAGGTTTGAATTGATATCTTTTCCCTCTAAGTTCAGTATTTGTGAGATTGCGACAATGTTAATGGAGGTTTGAATTGATATCTTTTCCCTCTAAGTTCATTCACTTTTCACTGATGAAAAATATTTCTTGGGAAGCCACCACTTGGTTGACTGTACGCTTACATTGTGGCAGGCTGGAAACTGTTGTGAATTTGTAACTCTACTGCTGTTTGTAACTCTATCTCATCAAATGTGTTAATTTGTGATCATGAATTTGTTATGTTATTTTAACTTATTTATGGAATAATAGTTTTACGAAAAGATTTCAAAGAAATGTTTATATCAAGAGGTATATAGCTATATACAATAATTACCCTTTGAGAATTGTGATCTGACTGTTTCCCTTATCTCAATGTAGCATTGGATCACTTATTCAGTTTGCAAATCTTTTTCTTGTGATCATATGGAAACAAAATCATGTTTTTATTTGACCTTTTTTTTGTTTTCTAAATTTATGTAACCAGTGAACAAGAAGATATCAGGCATGAGTTTTCTGGCGAATTTGGGAGAACAGGTTCCATCTGAGTTTCTTATTGATAGCATAAGTTGCCTTCCATGCAAAGTCCTCAACATTATTCTTGAGAAGTTGCCTTTATTTGATGCTGTAAGGACATGTGTTTTGGCAAAGGGTTGGCGATACAAATGGCTTATGCTTTCTAAGCTCTTTCTAGATTATGAACTTATTTCTGATGATACTAAGGATCTTAAATGGGATATGATTTTTTTTGTCACCAACAATTACTTGCTTAATCACACAGGCACAATCAAAACCTTTTACCTGAGAACATTATGCTGGCCACACTATCCTGAATTGTATCAGTGGCTCCTATATCTTTCAAAACTTGATCTAGAGGTGCTGTTGCTCGAAGAGCTTGGAAGTCAGCCATTTGAGATGCCTTCTTATATGTTCCGTTTCAAGAAGCTGCGATCTTTATTCCTTGGAAATTGCACTTTGCGCATACCATCTACAATTGGGAGTTTCAGCACTCTGTTTGAGCTCTCCCTCAGAGATGTTTCAATCAATGACAACGATCTTCATCATTTGCTTCTTAGGTGCCCGTTACTGGTGAAGTTAACATTGTTGAGGATACATGGATTAGATCATTTAAGAATTCATTCCCCTTCACTGACCATGCTAGAAATAGACACCCGAATTGAGGACGTTGTTATTGAATCCTTTGCGTGTTTGGTTTTAGTTTGTATCAAGAATTCTTTCAGATATCCAGGGATGGTTCGATCCTGGCGGAGTGTTATTTGTTGCCTATCTGGTCTTGACTCCCTTCAACGTCTGGTTTTATATGGAGAATTTATCACGGTAATTTGATATTCTATCTCTTATTGAATTTTTTAACTTTTGTGATTCACGAAAAAAGGTTTGTATCTTTAGTTGTATTTGTTGCTGACTCTAATTTTTTTGCTTTCACAATTTTAATGGATCTATTCCTTCTTAGATCTTGGCTGCTGATTGTGCACTTGAGAATTTTCCATTGAGGAATGATACTCTGATTTGTCTTTCCCTTTGTGATGTAAGATTTGAGACTATTGAAGTGCTCAGGGTTTGCCTTTCTTTACTAAGCTCCTGCATAAACATCAAATCTTTCCAATTTTCGGTATGCCACTTTCCTTTTCCATTTTCATCATATTACTGTTTCTTTGAAGGTACTTGTTCTAATTTGACTTTTCTTCTTCTGTGCTCTAGATTGAAGCAGCCAAAGGTCCAAAGCGGATCACTACATATTTAAAGGAATGGGATGTGCTGTGAACTTCATCGAATTTCTTTGCGCTCATTCCCCTAACCTCAAGGACATCTGCATTGTAAAGGGAGGGAAGCTGCATACCGACCGGACTCACAAGATGCTCTCCCGGTTTGATAAAATTTGTCCTAATGCTAACATTAAATATATACAAAAACAATAAGTCTATCTGTGTCCTTTATCTAATAAGTTTATAGTTGGGAAATGAGCTCATGTTTATGAGCCCATTGCTTTTGCAAGCTATCTGGTTGTCAGAGAAACTAATTCTTCTCAAAATTTAGTCTAGATGAACTTTTAGACAATAGGCTGATCACTTAGAATATTATGTCCCTTTTGTTTCTATTACTGTTTATAATTTTCCTTGGTATGTATGGAGGACAATGTTGTGTTGTTACATATCTTATATCGAGATTTGTTTACAATACACTGGAGGTAATTGTTTTAATGTATACCATCAACTTGAAGTAATTGTTTTAAAACTATATTTAACCAATTTCCCCCTAAAAAAAGTTCAATCATTTCAATTTTATTTTTTTGATTTTATTATGACATTGCCTTATAGATTAATTTCTCAATTTGGAATTTCTATGAGAAACTGGCCCAATACTATGATTTAAGATTAAAGAATTATTGTACCCTTTATCATCACCAAGTTAGCACTATTATCCGGCAACAGATTACTGTGGAGTTCAGCATTGATGGTATGTCTCTCTCATCATTATTACTCTTTTTGGGGGTGTAAAATAAATTTGCATTTTGCAATCTTTTGGTCATTTTTGTTGGCCATGGCTTATGTTGGAAACTACTATTGGTGGCTTGTTATAGACCATTTTTTGACGTAATTTTGTGGGGTTTTTTTGTCTTTTTGCTTGAATTTCTATATGTGATGTTAGGTTTGATGATAGGTTTTTGCTACTTATTATTCCTTCTATTCCTTTTGTTTGTCCTATTTGGAATCTTCAAAGGGAAAATTTAACTATTAAGAATTTTTTGTAAATATTTTTTAAAAATAAATAAATTCACATGGGATCTTGTTAGATTCATCATGATGTGTACTTTCTAGATTTCGACTTTTTATAATGCTTATTTGAAGATATAGATGTTTAGTTATATGCATGGGAAATTGTGTGCAAAGGATAATGAGACAAACTTAAAGCAGGAGTGTGTTGATTTGTGTTTTTATTTACTTTATTTATTACTCTTTCCGCTCTTTTTAGTTCTACCCACTTTTAATTTAGTCTGATCTTTTTTTGTTTAATTCACTTTGCTATATTCTATTTTTGGCTTAACTCCTTTACCATCTTACCATTTCAAGACCACAATAATTACACCTTTCCTCACACTCTTGACTTATTTTATTTTTTTCACAATTTTGTTACACATACACATTTTTACATTTTCTTAAACATTATCCTACTTTTCTTACACCCACTCAAATTATTCAATATGTTCTAAAATTGCGTATCCACTAGAACATAATTGAACAAGAATATTATTTTTCTCGAGGATTTTAAAGAATATGTGAATTATAGAAGAAACTAGTTTTTGGGCCTGGCAATGCCTGGTCAATGCATTTTCATTATTTTTCTTTTGAAGTCTTAATATCAAATATTGCATGGTTTAATGGTGAAGGTTTTAACACATCCACTTGAGGTCACATGATCAAATATAATGTATACTGTATAGCATATCTTCATTGTTTTAATTGTATGTTAATGATGTGAAATGCAACATAAATCGTATTGGGAGAGCGCCATGTGTCACATGAACTTTTGTTGGAATGCTTTGTAATATATTATTATTATAGATTAAAGATTGTAGGTACAAAAACTTTTCATGATAGTACTACATTTAAGGAAAATAAATAAATTTGTATTGAACAATGTTATTTAACCTGTTTAATAATTTGATTGGTGTAGTGGATGTGAATGACTAAAAGTGCTCCTTTTTTCATTGTTTGCTCAAGATTTCTGTTTAAGTTAGAATAATTGTTGTGACTTGGAGTCTTGGACTTTGTCTTTTGCATTATGAATTCATTATTTCTCCATAAATAAAAATTATTTAGTAGTTCAAGATTAAGGTTGGTACAAAATTTTGTCTTTCACTCTCATCTTAATTTGGTGTTTTGTGCTATGGAGAGTGAGTATAACAGCCAAGAATATCGAGCTTTATTGGATTTACTAAGCCAGGAAGCTAGAACTTAGTAAGTTGTGAGACAATCTTACTTGGATGTGGAAGGTTGTGATTTTGTGGGGGATGATGTTCCTAATGGGGAATTGTTATTGTGTTGTCAGACGATGTATAATGCATACATGAGGGAAGCCCTGGCTTGCAACCTGGTGGAGGCTCTAATATTAATGCTAGATTATGTACTTCTGTTTAAATCGGTGTGTGATATACAAAGTGTATGGTTGTAGACTGGTTCTTAAGTATGGAGCCACTATGGAGTAATTTGCAAAACCATTGGCTGAAGCTGCCCTTGTCTAAATTTTCCAGTTAACACTGCAGCTGGTAAATTATTTTTACACTTAAAAGAATATGTTATTGGAATAAGTTTGGCTTACTCAAAAGACACCATGAATTTCATCTGTCATTTTTTAAGCTTCTATAGTTTTGAAGCGTTATTTTTTTTGAGTGAGATTTTCTCAGTCATATTTTATACGTGATAACATTGTCTTAAGTGTCCGATGCTGTTAACCATTGATGTGCAATGTTTTAATTGTGCAGTTTTGGTAGAAATCAATGGTTCAAGGATATTTGGATGGATACTTCTTTACTTGTCCAGAAGTTAAAGGATGCGAGTTGCACTTGTACAGTTATTTGAATGGTAACATACTCACTCAGTTCTAGCTGCTGTTTGTAATTTTATTATTATTTTTGAACAATTACCATCACACTACTCCTATATTTAACCTTCTAATCTAGTAGTTATTTTTATTATGAATGTTTGAGGTTTGGATCCCACTCAAACTACTTGGATATCCGGGATAGGTTTACGTCACTCAGGTAGTTCATGTATTCTGCTGTTCGTTACACATGACGTATGTCTGATGTAATATTTCTGTCAGTGAATTTGTGGACCGAGTTATGCAATTCATGTTCTTAATCTTTCTTTGGGAATCCGATTTTCTAGTTTGTTCTAAATTTACCCAGTATCGTGTCATCATCTCTGTTTGACTTATTATTACGGTTCATAGTTAATTACTTCACCTCACACCTTACTCATTGAATAGAGCAAAAAAGATAAAACACTTGAGAATTTTGTATTTGAAGCGAGAATTTTCTTAAGATGTCAAATTAAAATGCCATGAGGATCATTCAATAATGCAATTTTGTACTATTCTGTGAAATGTTTGAATGATAAATGGCTGAGATTTAGTCTAATAAGTGGAGCTTTTATCACCTGTCCCCTAGCTCCAGTTTACGCTTCAAAGTGAGTGCCTGAAGTATCTATGTGCTAATACAAAGCAAACTTCTATTTTTAATACTTTTTTTCTCTTAAAAATCTAATCCTATTACTTTGGTGGTAAGTTATTTACTATATAGTAATTTATAATTACTAAACTTATTAATTTATACTCATTTTTTTTTGGGGGGGGCAGGGGGATGTGTGGGTGGCGTGGATGACGCGTGCTTTGCTGGAAAATTACTTCTATAGATAGTAAGATTTTTTTTGATCCAATTGATTTCTTTCCTAATCTTGTTGATTCTATCCTAATCAGATTGATTCTATCCTAATCAGATTGATTTCTTTCTTACTCCGATTTATTACTTTACCATTACTTATCTAAGAATAATGTCACATAATTTATAATATGTTTTCTGTTGACTTGAACTTCCATTTCTCTCAGTCAAATCAAATACCCCGTAATAAAAATCCTCTCTTTGGCATACTTCCCTGGTGCATGGTGGTGATACTGACAAAGACAATCACTTGGTAATTTGTATATCTACGTCATGATATTATATTGTTTTCTCTTGTTGAATTGATTTTTCTTAACAGATCTAAATTGTGGAGTTAGCATGATCAGTTCCTTAAAGATTTTTTTTTTTTTTTTTTTTTTGGGTAAATTTGTTTATTTATCATGGTGCAATTCAAGGATCTCAATAATGTAGTACGATCCAGAAATGTGTTCATGATGTCATCAATTGGTTCATACTATGTTTTTAGTTAGTCAATAATTTGCCTCTTTAACTAGTTAAGCTGTTGTTAATTGTCAATTTCTGTGTTATATAGTTTTATTTTTGCTTTGGATTAAACAATTGGTTACGTGAACACAAAAGTTGGTGTTTGACTGGTTTGGTCCTCAATTTGAAGCTTTCCCTTTTTCTTTAACATTTCTTGATTTCAAATTATTTAATTGCAGAATGCCTGTATCAAAATATTTACCTATGGCTATGATTTTGATAAGACAACCTTTGATGTTAGTTTGGCCTCAGATCCTAAATTAAAATTTCTACTCCTAATTCCTATCTACTTTTGCTTCTTATTAAAAAAAACATTAATAGTATGCAGGTATTCACAAGATGCATAACAAGTATGCATGTTCTGGCTTCAAATTTCAATGTTTTTCGTGTTTAGTGTTTGTGTAACTTGGAGTTAGTGTTGAAAGGCCTTATGTTATGCTTGTCTATTAAGTAGGTAATCTGCCACTGTTGTCCTTCAGGAGATATTCTTGCATTTTCAATTTAATTCTATAGACCAAGCTCTTTTAGTAGAGTAAATTGTGATGTTAACGAAGTCAAATAATTATAGGATCTAGGCTGTTGTTAAGAAGGATTTAGGTGGGAATTTTTTTTTGTGCTCCCACCCATTGTGTTGGGCTGCTCTTTTGTAAATATGTAGGCACAGCTAAGATATGTCACAAAAATGCACGTGTGCTTGTTCCCATTATGGTAAAGTTTGCTTATTTTTTAAATTTAGTGTCCTGTGAAATTTAAAATAGTGTTGAGATTCTTATGCCTTGTTTGTCTCTTAATAAGATAATCAGTCACTGTTGACCTTGAAGAGATGTACTTGTTTTACAATTTTTTTCCTTGACCAAGCTTTTCGAATAGGCTAAGAATGAAGATAAGATCTAAAGCATTGTTAAGAAATTTTTTGGTGGCATTTAACATCATATAGGTGCTTTGGCTCAGCCATTGAGCCTTACTATGATATTTGGTATCCTATTTAATATCGAGGTTTATCTGAATAGTCTTGCTAGATTCATTGCAGACATACTATAGTATATTCTGTGACATAGTCTTGACTTTCATGTCAACTATATCTTTTGCTCTTATGAGAGTCAATTATTATTCAGAATCTTCTAGCTGCTTGAACTGAAGCTCATCAATTTTAAGTGTACTTTCCAAAGATTCACTTAAGTGTTGGCACTCTGTGTACTCTTGTTCACCCAGATAATATAATCCCCTGGCACACAAGAAATAACACCGGCCTATATTATCCTCTAGCTTAGCCATAAACAAAGATAATGGGGCAAATATGAAGTGAGGGAGGTTCTGTCTTCCCTGTAGAGGTGTCGGAACTCTAAGAAATTTTAAGGGATCTCTCATGGCCATTAGAAGGCTTGTGGGTTTGTCTTGTGGGGGATGTTAGTCAACTGTGCAGTGGCATGGCACTTTCATAACTTAAATGCACGCCCGTGCTTCTTGTGAACAAAAGCTCCACGTGGGCTGCACTAGGGGGGTCATGAAGTTGTGTCCTGTGAGTTTGAATTTGTGTGACTGGCACACCTAGGGGATTTGATGCCGGCTTGTTCAGGATTTATTTGCATAATGTGTTAATTAATCCAGCAGTTGTTATTAGGATGTTATTTCTGATTGCATTTTGTGTGTGAGTAAAGGAGATAATCTTAGTTCATTAATAATCTTACTGATTAGATTCAGAGAGTTTGTGAGTCTGATTACTGTCTTCTCATCAAGTTCTTGTGCATCAGTCATATCAAAGTTCTAGAGCATTGTTCTTGTGAATTTCTCCTGCATTGTAGTACACCCGTGCCTTCAAAACTGTTTATGGTCTTTATTATCATGTATGTCATTATTGTTTGTTGGTGGTTTGCATATTTGGTGTAGCACCTATCCCCACATTCCCATGGTTCATTGTCAGGCTTTGCTCGAATTATACATGGCTCACTTAATTGTTAAAGGACTAATGTAGTGCAGCATTGCTTGTGCAAATTCAATTAACCTGTTTGGACGTTTCTCTCTCTCTCTCTCTCTAAACCGTTTGGGCATTTCTGTTGATCTTCTGTATATTGACAGAGGCCATACGAATAATTTTTCATTCCTAGGGCTCTGCATCATTATCAAATATCAGTTTTTCTTGTCATTGGACAAATAAGTTCTTAAAATTTAACTTTTTCCCTTCTTTATGTCTTCTCGGGAAACCATTTTCAGAACATCATAGTCTGGAAATTTCCTCTTTTTTTTTTTTTTTTTTTTTTTTGGGATTGGCCGCTGTGTGTGTGTGTGTGTGTGGTGGGGGGGGGGAGGGATTGGTGTAAGGGTCTCATGAGCACTAGAAATCACACTAATGAAGGTTATATGGGATTTCTTACCCTCTTTGGTGACGATCTGGTTTAACAATCCCCCACCATCTTCTTTCTAATAGGTTTGATGAAGATGAGTCCATAACCATTACTCCCCCTCCCTTCCATGCAACTCTAGAAGTTGAATTTAGTTTCCCTATAATAGCCTAGATTTTTCAAAAGGATATCTATGTTGTCATTTTCATTAAAGAACTTAAAGAAATAATAACCTATTTTCTCCATCCTTTACTACCTCAGATCTTAACCCCCTTGTTCTTCTTTCTCCCACTCGCCAGCTTACATACATTTTTTTACTCTTCTTTTGCTGCCTAGCACTCTTATCTCAAATACATGCAGCCTGACATTGTTTTTGGAGCAGAAATTAACATGTTGACTGCCTTTGAAGCATCTAAATGCCAGAAAATCTTCAATGTCATTTGGAGTCAATGTTTAGCAGAGAGCATCATTCATTGGTTTCCTGAATTAATCTTGCCTCTGTTCTATGGAGATGTGACATGATACATTTTCTCGTTTCATATTTCATTTCTGAATTTTTTTGTAACAGGAAGCCATCGGCTGGCTGAGTGTCTGCTGACATTGTGGTATCTGGCTTAAAAAATATCTCCACCTGTGTTGATACGTGATTATGCATTTATTCATGATTTGTAATATGTTTTTATGGCATACCATTTCTTTGAAACATGGAAAAAAAAAAGTCTTAAATTAAGTGGTATGTCTTTTTTGTCTACTATATCTACCTATTGTCAATTGTGATCTGACTATTTCTTTTTCTTTGCTTCACCTTCTGGAGATTTTATAAAATTTCAATTTACAGCATTGGATCAGCTTAGGAGATTTGCATAATTTGTGTTTTCTGAATTTGTGTACCCAGTGAGCAAGACCATGGCTGGCATGAGTCGTGTATTTAGTTCAGGAGAACAGGATCCCTCTGATTTGAATGCAGATCGGATAAGTAATCTTCCATGGAATGTCCTAGACATTATTCTCGGGAAGCTATCAATAACTGAAGCTGTCAGGACAAGTGTTTTGGCAAAGGATTGGCGATATAGTTGGCTTACCATGTCCAAGTTTTCCCTAAGTTCGGAAGAGATTGGTGAAGTACTTGATTTTAGGGATCCTAGGTGGGATATATTATCTAGTATAGTTAGCAACTTCCTACTTCATCACACCACCACTTCAATTATGACATTCATCCTGCAATCATTTTTTTGCTCACATTTTTCTGATTTGAGCAATTGGATTGAATTTCTCTCGAAAAAGGGTGTTGAAGTTTTAGAACTTATAGAGTTTGGGGATCAATACTTAAAAATGCCCACACATCTATTCTCCTTTGAGAAGCTGAAGGTTTTGGTCATCGAATCTTTTTCTTTACAGATTCCATCTTCTTTTAGAAGTTTTAAATTCCTGGAAGAACTTTCTCTCAACGAAGTTTCAATCAGTAGCGGTGACTTATATCGATTGATTCTAGCGTGTCCTCTCCTGCTGAATCTGACACTGGTGACCATTTCTGGAATTCAGAATTTGAGAATTCACTCAGCCAGGCTGACTATGTTAGAAGTAGATACCGGGTTTGTGGGTATTGATGTTGAATTTGCTCCATGTTTGTCAACAGTTAGTATTATAAATGATTACAGATCATTCACACCACAAAGTGTGATTCTCAACTGGCGCAGTGTTACGCGTTCATTATCTGGTTTGATTTCTCTTCAAAGTTTGGCTTTATCAGAAATAATTTTTAAGGTAACTTTATGTTCCGTCTCTCAATGAGGTTTTGTGATGACCAGAACCTTCTACTAATATTTGTTACTGACTTGATGTCTTTTCTTTTTCAACTATATCGGATGGTTTCTTAGCTTTTGGTTGCTGAATGTGCACTTAAAGACTTTCCTTTGAGGAACAATACTCTGGCGTTTCTTATCCTTCGGGAAGTAAGTTTTGATAAAATTGAAGTTTTCAGGGTTTGCCTTTCTCTACTAAAATTCTGCCCAAAGATGAAAACTTTCAGAATTACGGTATGTTTATGCCCCTTATTATTTTTCTGTATTACTAGTTCTTTGGAAGTAATTTTTCTGTTATGACATTTATTCTTCTATGCTGTAGGTTACATCAGCCAAAGGTCCCAAGCTTATCAAATCATTCTTAAAAGAGAATCCAGGGCAGTACTCTTTTTTGGAGCTCGAAACACTGAATGTGATCTATCCTCCTGGCACTGGCATGGGATGTTCTGTGAAGTTCATAGAATTTCTTGTCACTCACTGCCCAAACCTTAAGTTGTTAAGCATTGAAACAGAAGGAGCATGTGAATTAAATATCACTCGGGCTAACAAGATGCTCTCACAGCTCAGGAAATTGTGTCCTCATGCTTCAGTTCTGTATACCTTTGATGACCAAGAACCTAATTTGTGATCTCCATCAAACAAGTTTACAGAAAAAAGTCCGTCCCAATCTTATCAGCCATCGCTTTTGAAAGCTATTTGGTAGTCAGCGAAACTTTTTTTTTTCCGAATAAATACAATCTTGATGAACTTCTAGACAATAATTAATTACTTGAAGTGCTTATGTTACTGTGTTTTGATGTAAACCTTTTCTTGATGGAAGACAGTGTCATGTTATTGACTTATTGCTGTGTTATTATGCATTACCTTTTGACTGAATTTGTCTTGGTAATTTTTGTTGCGGTTTTATGAAAGGATTGCTTTTGTATAATGTATATTTTAAACACCAATCTAGCGCAGCTTTACCCTTTTAAAGCTTCTAGCTCGGGTTCTTGTCAAACTTCGTAGAGCTATGTTGCTTTCTTACTCCGTAGAAGACTTTCTCGTTAGGGTTAACATTCACTCCATAATTGTAAGGCTAACATTTTCAACCAAAATTTACAATGAAAATAATGAAACAATTAAAAACCTAATAAACATTCAAACTAAATCATGCTGTTGCAATCGTTTTTAACTTAGTGATGATAATAATTTGATAAATCAATCAGTTTAAGATCGAATTAATTTTAAATAACTAGTTTTATACGAGTTATAAAACTCATTTGATAAATCAATTAAGCTAAGATCGAGGAATTTTAATCCATTTATTATGAACCCCGGCCACAAACCGTACTCAATAAATCAATTGAGTTAGGATTGCGGGTTTTTAAATCTGTTTATTATCATTCCGGACACAAACCAGACTTGATCTGTTAAATGGTTAAACACCACCGAGTCCCCTACGCCAGGATTATGAATAGGAACATAAATAAATCAAGAGAAGTTTGAAAAGACTGCCTGAAACAGGGAGAGGTGTAGAGTTCACTGTTTTCCTTTACTGTCACAAACTCGAGCTTGAGTTTCTCCGGTCACGAATTATCGACGGTAATTTCTATATCTTTCTCTAACTTATTACCCTTTTGGGGTTCATAAATAAGCAATTTTTAGGTCAATTTTATTTGTTATTTTGGCTAAATTTGGAAATTATTGTGTTTTTTTTTGTTGATGATTCATTTGTATATTTCATGTTCATATAATTTTGACATGGGTTTCGTTTGTGGGGTTTTTTTGGGTGTTTTCTTTGAAATTCTAACTATGAAGATAATTTGAAGATTTTTTTTTTTTTTTTTTTTTTTTTTTTTTTTTTTTTTTTTTTTTTAACAATTACAATGAATGATACTCTGGGACAATGTGTTTTTGTTGAGAATTTGAAGAATAATTGAGCATGCAGAAAATCTGGAAACAATTTGGTTAAGATGGCAGAATTGTTTTATCAAGTGAGGAGCTTGTTTAACATGAATGAATATATTTATGCTTTCAAATTTCAATGCTAGATGGATGAAAATGTTACAAACAAAATTTACTAAGTGGATGTATGGAACATTTTCTCTCATTGCTATTCTTAAGTCGAGCTAGATAATTGTAGCGAATATTATTACTGTGGAATTTGGGAAAGATATCAGCTTCCTCAATGGAATTTTTGTATTTAAGGTTTTTATAACCATTGTCTTTAATAAATTTATTAGAGATTTTAAACCATGTTCCTAAATGGATTAGTATGCTTGGATTATCTTTAATAAACTTAAGGACTTAGCTAATTTATTTCCGACATCTTGAGTGTAACACTGTAACGGCTAGTAATCTTGGGATTTTTTGACTTAACTCAAGAAGCTAGACATTAATTAGTTTGTGAGATGTTATATCTTTCTTGAATGGAAGGTGACTTAGTAAGGATGATTGTTTTAATTGGGGAATACTAAATGGATTAAAATCTTGGACAATGCTTGATATTTGGACTCTAATCCCTGTATAGCGGCCTATAATTTTGGGCTCATTGGACTTGTGATTTGTGAACCAAAGAAGCTAGACATTAATAAGTTTATGAGACCAAATGTCTTACTTGAATGTGGAAGGTTCTGACTTTTTGTCTTTTTGAGGATGATTGTAAAATCAGGAATATATGCAAGTAGTAATGTATATGACCAATGACCTTCCATGAGGATAGCTCTGGCTCGCAACTTGGTGCAGCCTGGGGGTTCAAACTTATTAAGCTACATTATGTACTTCTGATTGTATCAGTGTATGATACATACAGTTGTCAAAGAGTATTATTGTTTGCAATTTCTGGGGCTAAAGCTGCCCCTGTGCATTTTATCTCGTATGTCAATCCTTTATGTTTTCTATTCTTTCTAGTAATCTATATGTTATATATTGCCCCTGGTTGTAGATAACACAGTCTGAAGAATAAATTATGGGGATAAATTTGGCTTACTCAAAAGGCACCATGAGTTGCATGTCTTCTTTCAAGCTTCTCAAGTTAAGAAGCATTCTCTATATCTCTCCTTTGGTAAGTTTTTTTTCAGTACATATCTTTTATTTAATAACATTGGCTTCAGAGTCTAACGCTTTTAACCACCAATGTGATGTTTTAGGTGTGCAATTCAGATAAAAATCAATGTTATTGGATGAAGAATCACCAGACTGCCACTTCCTCACTTGTGTGAAAGTTGAAAAAATGGGACTTGCACCTTTTCAATCACTTCAATGGTAGGATGTATAGAATATTCAAGGTGTTGTTTTAATTGTTTGTTAATCATCTTTTACAATACCTCTATACCTAGTAGGCAAGCAGTGATAGGTTTATTCTAGTTGATAGCCACTATCTTACTAGCTAAAAATACAAGCAAAAAAAAAACCCAGTGGATTTAAACTGCCTGATTTTTTAAATTATTGGCCAGTGAATTTATGAATGGAGCTGCAAAATGCATGTTTTTGACATCTCTTTAGGAATCCTGTCAATACTTGTAGTTTGTAACAAGACTTACCTTAGTTTGTTAAACATTTACCTATAATCTCTGCATGGCATATTATTATGATACTTGATTTTAAAAACAATTACTTTATTTGTATGAATAGAACAACATAGATGATTAGGAGTATTTCAAGCAATCAATCAATCAATCAAAGTCTTAATCCCATAAGTGAGGTATGATGATTAGGAGTATTTGATGTGGAAATTTTCTTGTCAAATGTTAAATTAAAATAGCAGGAGTTCAATTTAAGACAATGTTGATATATGTTCCGAAATTCAGATGTTAATGTCTGAAATTTTAACCCAATAGGTGGGTTTTTTTTTTCCTCTTACTCTTTTTTTCTTATCCCAAATTGCCTATTTTGCACGTTTGTTGAGGTTCGGGGTTGTTTAGACACGGGACTAGGGAGTAGGATGATTATGGGTTGTTTGTGTAGTTGGTGACAATTTCGATAAAGGGATTAAGGTATTTATTTGCATAAGATAAGACATGGTATTTACATAAATAGTTTGTTCACATTTGGATTGTATCAAGGGTCTGCATTAAGTCCTTTTCTTTTTGCAACGGTTCTAGATGCAGTAACTAGACCAATTTAAGATGAGATACCATGGTGTATGTTGTTTGTGGATGATATTAGTTTGGTGGATGAAAGTAAAGATGGGGTTAATGACAAATTGGAGCAATGGAGGCAAAGGTTGGAACCTAGAGGGTTTCAAGCTAAGTCGGAGTAAGACTTAATATTTGGTATGCCGCTTTGGTACACAGTGGGGGACAAGCAGTGATGTAGTGAGCTTGGATGGAAATGATTTGACTATGAGTGAATGTTATAAATATCTTGGGTTGATCATCCAGAAAAATGGTGATAGTGATCAAGATGTGGCCCACCGGATTAATTCAGGGTGGCTTAAATGGAGATTAATGTCATTGATTAGTCTCCAATTCATTACAATCTTGAGGTCACAATTGGAGGTTAATCATCCCTTACAACTTTTCACTACTAATGCAACATATCTTCAAAAGAGGAACATAGATTAATTGGCAGGCATGTTATGATACCAAACTAACTTATTAACCCTGGTGGACACCCACACATTCATTTTAATCAATCAATCAACGCCTTAATCCCACACCTTCGCTATAGTTTTAGAAAAATTATTTTTCAAAATTTGGACGTAATGTGTAGAGTATGGAAATATAACCTTAATCCCTGTTGAGATGACCCATGTATACCCCGCACTTTCACTTCAATTTTGTAATTAATTTCCAAGAATTGGCCAAAAAAATAACCTTAAAGTTATGGACAATTTGGCGAAATTTTAGAACTGAACAAGTTAGGGTGCCTTCCGTAGACCTACGAGACCACGACACTCTAAATTTCCATTTGGTTGATTGGAACCTTCTTCTTTGCCTTTAATTGCCAGTTTACTACTTGTGACTCACTTCATTAACTCAACGCCAACACGAGAATATGTGTGATCGATTAGTGCTTATATATGGTTCTAAACAATATTATATGATCTCGAGATGTATCCCTTACAATCTCGAGGTTTGTTGACGCTAGTTATCGAAATCTTTAAAATTGGTTTGATTTCGTGTATTAGCCTTTTCCTTTAGTCTTTTTGACAATTTTCACTTTTTCGCATTTGAAAAGAAAAGAGATTGGGGTGTTCCCATGGATCTCACAACATTGGTGAGGTCATTTGAGTGATTGGAACTATTAACTTCGCTTTTAAACAACCATTTATATACAAGCCTTAATTTAATCGAGGATAATACATGTCTTTATATGACTAACTAGTGGTCATGTTTGGTTCCAAACAAGGTTATATGACCTCAAGGTGCTTCCTCTACAATTCCGAGATTTTTTTTACTTTGGGTCCCAAAATCTCCAAAATAGGCCAAAAGCATGGATTATAGCCTTCAATTGGACATTTATTTTACATTTTTTGGATCTAGAAAGGAAAGAGTTCGAGGTTTTTCCCATGGATCCTACGACACCTCATGGGGCCATTTGAGTGGTTGGAACCGTCTACTTTGCTTTTGAACAATCAATTTGACTTTTTTTTTTTGTAAGCCTCTTTTTACTAGCTAAGGCCACCTAGGGCCTTTATGTGACCGACTGATGTACCTATATGGTTCAAAACAACATTATGTGACCTTTTTAAAAAAAAAAAAAAATGTGACCCTGGAATGTGTCCCCTTTGTTTCCGTGAGTATTTGACATCGTGTCTGCCCCAAAATTGATATTATTGTTGTGTTAAGAATGAGCTATACGACTTGGAGTTCGCGGGGGGGGGGGGGGGGGGGTAGTGGGGAATCCCTGGTTGTGAGTCGGTCTGACAGGTGGCCGACTAGAAAGTTATTAGTCCAACCAGGATGGCGGCGTGCCAAATAATGTGCACAATTTCCTCTCCGGCTCGATGGGTACTTCTAGTGTTTTGCCTGGCGGAGACGTATTTTAAACTTCGAGTGTAGTCCTACAGATCATGGTGGTCCTAACATGTGTCACGATCATGCAAGGGTTGTGTGCTTCAGAGGTTAGACTACTTGAGCAACAAGGCCTATTAGCAATCCAACGTCTGGTCCTTTCATGTATTAACCTTCAAATTTAGCTTCCATAGAATATATTTTCACCCAACAAGTTTATACATTAAGGTGCTTCATGGGGTTCCAAAGGGCCCCATGAGGCTTACTTGGTGTCGGAACCTTCTCATTCATGCCTTGGTCAGCCCTTTATTATCACGATTTAAGATGTCTGCCTTGTTACCTTGCCTTCTTCGTGGCCTGTGCTACTTGCTATGGTGGCAAGCCAAGATGCTAACTTCAAATAGGTGTTTTTTTTTTTTTTTTTTTTTTTTTTTTTTTTTCTTGTCCTTGTGCACATGCCCTAAGCCTATGCGGGAAAGCATCATCCAACGCCCGACGCTTAGGTGTGATACTTCCTCCGTTTCAAATTAGTTGATACACATTGACTTTGGCACTATTTAAAAATTTTAATTTTACTAACTTTTATGATATACAAACAATAAATACCATAGTCATGTGAGGTCTTAAATTAATCCAGATATGTATTATCAAAATTTCAACTTCTAATAATTTTATTTATTGATAATTAGAGATTTACGGTTGGATACATGCATTGGAAAACCAAAAGGCACATAATTAGCGTTCAAGTACATACTATATTACTATCTACCTATGTTACTCCGACACCCTATTGTACATTAAGTGTTTGGTATCGGATCCTCTGACACTTCGACACGACACGACACCCATATATAGTGGCCTTATATGAATTTGGAGAGTCGAAGGATCCGACACGGACATGACACCCAACTCCGAGTCTGTGCAACATAGCTATCTACAAAGTTCTAACAACCTAACATGCTCATTTAAAATAATTGTAATTCCTTTTTTATTTTGGGCTTGGGCTTAGGGAGGTTTTTTTTTCTTTTTTTTTTTGGGGGTGAGGTGGGGTGGGGGGGGGGGGGGGAAGTTAATGACTGTGATATCCTGGGAAAGGAAATGAGATTTCTTTCCTTATGTGATTGATTATTTTCTTAATCTTATTGATTGTTATCTTAATCTTATTGATTGCTTTCATATTATTGATTGCTTTCAAAATCTTATTGATTGTGTTTACGTTGCTTTTCTTAAGACAAAGAATTATGATAAAACCTTTGTTACATTTTCTATTGATGAGCCTTTGAGCTTTCATCTGCTCTCTCTTTAAAAAAAAACTTTCATTCTCTCTCTGGCATACTTTTTGGTGTGTGGTGGTGATACCTACAAAGACTGTCACTTGGTATTTCTGTCATTTCTTGTTAATTTGATTTGTCTTTACAAATTATATCTGTGAAATATAGCATGATTAATTCGCTCTTTTTATATATGAATATGATGGTGCAATTTATAAGAATCATAGGGAGTTGTCCTTTTTGTGTTATAGTTTACGTATTTTCTTCAGATTAACAGTTGGTCATATGAACACAAAGATCAGGCTAAACTAATTTTGTCCTCTTTATGAATTGTTCCTTTTCTTTTGTTTGTTCTTTAATTTAGATTATTTTATATGTTGAATATTTTTATTTTTGTGACAGAGGAACCTTTGACACTTAATTGCCCTCAGAAGTTAGATAAGAAAAGGATTTTTTGTACTCCCATTAACTGCATTTACTGTGTTATGCTGCTTAATTGCAAAAATATAGGCACATTTGAGACACATCATGAATATGCGTGTTCCTGTTTCTAAATGGTAAAAGTCCATATGCTTTTAATCAGATGTCTATAAATTTGGGGGAAGTATTAGTACATACCAGGGTATGTTCGTCGTTTTCTGTAAAATTTTATATTTCAATAGACTTTATGTACCATTTGAATCATTCATAGTACCATTGAAGTTTTAATGTACTATCAAATATCCATTAGTACCATTGAAATATATGTACTAATGATATTTGTAATACCATTAAATTTGACCAAAATACCCCGTGCTGTATGATTCTCATATAGCATGATACATCACGCCATCACGGGTATGTCCTAGAATCCCTCATAAATTTGCAAAATGTAGAAATTGTGTTGAGTATACTTATGAGATATTTATTCTCTATATTAATTTTTCAGTCACTGTTGACCTTCAAGAGATGTTTGTTTTACTGTTAATTTCCAGAATGTCTTTTCAAATAGGGTAAGCTAAGATATTTGCTTTAATAAAGCTACATGAATATAATATCTAGATCATTTTCAAGCAGAATTTGGGTGGCATATAATAATACCATGTAGTAATTTAGATTTCGGCCAATTAGCCTTACTATGAAGGTGATATCCTTATTCACGTCACAATTCACTTTTCTGAATGATCTAGCTATGATACTTTTCAGGCACATGTATGAACTTTTATTGAAGATTTATGTAATTTAATCCTGACCTAGACATAATCCATTTCGGTCTCTCCAAATCTCAACTATAATTAATCAAGTCAAGATCTTGAATCATAGTTGACTCTTGAGAGACTCTTGGGTCAACTATGATTCGAGATCTTGACCTGATCAACTACATCTATATTGTCAATTTAGAAGTTTAATGTAGTTTTGACATTTGGTACCCTTTTCCAAGATTATATAATCCTTCTAGCACATAAGAAATAACACTATCCCTTTTTTTTTTTCCCCCTCTTGCTCATTAAAGATCTTATAGATACTAGAATATATATCCACCACCCTCAAAGGCCTCAATGCACTGATCTTAGTCCCTATGTTCTTCTTTATCCCACTTGTCAGCTTACACACATTGGCTGCCTCATAAGCACCTCTATGCTTGAAAACCTTGTGTCATTTGTAGCTAATGTTTCAGAATAAAACATTTTTTATTGGCCAAATCAATTAATTTTTTGATAACTTTATCCTCTAAGTTAATACTTATTTTACTTCTGAATAAATAATGCAATGTTTAGTCGCCATGCAGCTGAATGTCTGTTGTTATTGCTTCTGGCATAATAAAGTATCTTTTCACTGTCCCAACTCTATATCTCCACCTGCATTGATTTGTGAATATTGAATATGCATTTATTCAGTTATTTGTGCGCTAATTAAACATGGCATCGTATTTCTATGAAACGGGAAATATAGTACTAAGTTATCAGATATTTTATACAATATCTACCTTTTTTGCTCTATGTTGTGACCAGAATTTGTTGTCATATTGTGTCCTGTCTGTTTCCTTTTCTGTATTTCACCTTCTCATGTGGACTTTTTAGAAAATTGATATATGTAGGCATTTTAGCATTACATCACCGTTTCAGTTTGCAAATACTTTATATTGAAGAAATAAATTTTAGAAACAAAATAACGAGTATTGATTGCCGAATAATATAGGAGGTTTTTCAAAAAAAATATATAGGAGGTTTGGCTAATTTCTGTTGCCTGAATGTGTGTATACAGTGAACAGGAAAATGGCGGTTGTGAGCAGTGTTTTGAGTTCGGCAGAGCAGGTTCCATCTGATTTGCCTGTGGATAGGTTAAGCTCTCTTCCTTCGAATATCCTTGATATTATTCTTGGGAAGTTGTCGATAACTGAGGCTGCCAGGACTTGTGTTTTGGCTAAGGATTGGCAATACAAATGGCTCTGCATTTCTGACTTTTCCATAGATTATGAACTTATTTCTCCTGCGAGTGGTGCAGCTAACAGGTGGAATGCACTTGCATGCATCATAAACAGATTCCTACTTCATCACTCCCTTTCAATCAGGAAGTTCTACTTGAAAGCATATTGCAGACCACGTTATTCTGCTATATATCCTTGGCTTCAACATCTGTTGACACGAGATGTCGAGGTACTGTCAATAGAAGAGCTTGGGTATAAACAGAATTTTGAGATGCCCTCGTATCTCTTCCTCTTTGAGAAGCTACAATGTTTGTTTCTCAAACGTTGTGCTTTGCAATTTCCCTCTACTTGTCGTGGATTCAACTCCCTTCGCGAACTCTCATTCTGCAATGTTTTAATTAATGACGATGAGCTGCATCGTTTGATTCTTGAGTGCCCTCTCCTGGTGAAGTTGAAATTGTTTGAGATGTCCCGGTTAGAGCATTTAAGAATAAGTTCTCCATTATTAGAAGAATTAGAAATAGACAACACAATTGGGGACATTATGATTAAAGATTCTGCATGTTTGGTTTCAGTTTGTATTAGTGATAATTCCTACAGTGACAGGATGATGCAAAACTGGCGGAGCGTTACTTGTAGTTTATCTAGTTTGGATATCCTTCAAACTTTGGTTTTATTTCGAAATTTTATCGAGGTAATTTGATATTCTATTTCTTATTGAGCTAATGTGATTTACATACTGCTTCATGTTTATTTATATTTTCTGGTGACTTTACATGTTTTCTCTCTCTAATGTCCAAACATTACTGGATCTTTTCTTAGATTTTGGCTGCAGATTATGCACTTGAAACTTATCCATTGAGGAACGATACTCTGTCATGTCTTTCCCTTTTCAACCTAAGATTTGAGACTCTTAATGTGTTCAGGGTTTGCCTTTCTCTGTTAAGCTCCTGTTCAAACATCAAATCTTTCCAATTTACGGTATGTCACCTTTCTTTTTCGCTTCCTCCTTTCTTTGTTTGGAAGTACTTGTTTTTTATGTGACTTTTCATAATGTGCTCTAGGTTGAAGCAGCCAAAGGTCCAAAGCTGATCACTGCGTTCTTAATGGAAAATCATGGACGATTCTCCTTTCCGCAGCTAGATTCTATTTTGGTGACATCTCCTGCTGGCATGGGTTGTACTGTGAACTTCCTTGAATTTCTTTGTGCTCATTCCCCAAACCTCAAGGCTTTAACCATTAAAAAGGGAGGGAAGCATGAGATGAACGCTACTCGGGTTTCCAATGTGCTCTCACGGCTGACAAAGCTAAGCCCTCAAGCTTCAATTCAATATCAACCATGACAGCCAACAAATTAATCTGTGATATCCATCAAACAAGTTTGCTGAAGATGACTCATCCCATGTTTATGAGCCATTGCTTTTGAAAGCTATATGGTATTCAGCAACACTTTTTTTTTTTTCTAATAAATGCAATCTTGATGAACTTACTAGACAATAGTTTGGTTGATTTTCCATAAATATTTATTGATTTCGTACTTTTATTTTTAGTCAAAACTTAAAAAGTAATGCGTCCCCTTTTCCATATATTACTGTGTTTTGATGAATTTTTTTCCTCAGTTGGGAATATGGGAAGATATTTTCATGTTATTGCTGTGTGGTTATGTATTACCTTTTGATTGAATTTTGCTTGGTTATAATTAATGCAGGTTTATGAAGGTATTGTTTTGTTTAATGTAAATGGTAGTAAGGAGTAGCTTTGAACACCGGCGTAACTTGATATGACCTTATTTTCAGGCCTCTAGATCTAGTTCTTCTCGAACTTGTTTACAGCTATGTGATTGATTTCTTAGAAGACTACCTCTTAAGTAAATTTCCGTGATTTTTGGAGTAGCATGATTTTAGATTCTTAGTCACTGCCCATTTCAATTAGGGCTAATTGGCTAGGGCAAAATTTCTTGGTAGGAAGGAAAAACTCAGGCATGAAGAGTAGAGAGAGAAAATGGGATCATTAGGAAGCCTATAGTATGGCGTCATGTCCTTGACTATTATCACATAAACTTCATAGTGTTCAGTCCTTGTGATTTGTTAGTTGTGAATTTGCCTACATCTAATTATTAGCACAGTTCAACACTAGTTTTAGATAAGTAGTGCAGGTTGAGAAAATGGCACATTTTTGACAGATATAGTAGAACAGAATAAAAATACATGGAAGTGGGCGAGTGCCCAGTCTTTACAGCTGTGCAGGGACAAAGAAATCAGGATGGTTTAAGGCATGAATATCATAAACAGTCGTGCACAAAAAGCAAACAATAGATGAGAACATGAGGATATTCATGGCCTTATGTTAGCCTCTTTATAGGAAGAAGTAGAGTAGAAGTAAGTTAGGATAGGAGCATTGAGTATGTATGTTCTGTTTAATGAGGAATCGTAAAGTATCTTGGAAAATATCATAGGTGTGGGTTCTTTAGATTTTTCGAAACTTCTGTGGGTGATGTTCTGCCGATATAGTTGTCTGTTCTGACAGAAAGCCCCTGTAGGCAGTTGCATATTCAACAAGTGCTTTGGTTGTTAGTGCTGCTTCCATGGGGTTAGCTCACAACCTATATATGACTGAACCTGTAAATGTAACGACCTTGTGAACAAACTCGATACAATGTTATGTCTGAATAGGGCAGCACTGCAGCAGTACTGCTTGTGGTTAGCACAATTAGAACTGCCGCAAATTTTAGAGCATTTGGAATCTGAAACTCTGAGACTGACTTTATTACCTGTGCACCTGTTATATATTTACATCCTTCATTTACTCTTGAGTACATGTGATTATCTTAATTATGTTTCAATATAGTAATAATTTTACGTGCTTTCCATTTCATTCCTTATGCTCTTCTATTATAAAAGCATGTAGATCAAAGTTTATTAAGATTGTTCTAATATATATATCATGATATTGTTATTAATTAGAAGATGCTGATCTTAATCTTGTAAATAAGATTGTAAATGAGTAGTTTTTTTTTTTAAAGAAAAAAAAAAGGCAATTAAAGGCTAATGACAAACTCCAAAGTGAACATACATAAGAAGTTGATACTTCAATATTAGGCAAACAAAAAAAATACTAAATTAAATGTTTTCTAACTTAACCAACATAGCTTGATTTAACAGAGTTTAAAGCTTAGTAATTATTATTTGAACACACATAAAATGCAAACAATACAAGAAATTGATATCTGAAATATGATCGTCATGGAAGGCTCTTGTATGGAGTTGAGCATTTAGTACGTAGGAGTTGGTATTGCTTTCTGGGGGATTCTATAACCTCCGAAGAACTAATCCCTTCGCGTTGTATCTTCCGGTTGGCCTCTTTCAAGGTGTTTAACACCTTGATGAATTGACGCCCACACTCCTCAGTGTATGGAATGACTGGTATAGGGAATGATAGGCACTCGTCTATTAACTTTGAATGCTCGGCCTCAGTAAACTGGGATAACCGGTCTTGACTTGTACCAAAATAGTCGGTTTCTAACCCTTTTTCTTCGGTACCCAAAGTTTCGAGTGCCTCGTCGATGTGCTTCTGGCACTTTGGTGTAAGCTGGGCATTGACATTTGGTGAAGGCTTGGCATTGGCAACGCTAATGGTTAGCACAATTAGCACCACCACACACAACATTCCTACGCCCTGCGACTTTGGCTTATGCACAACCATTTTTAGTAAGTGTAACACTAATAATTAGCTTTAGCCTTTAGGAGTATATAATGGACTCAATGGAGGATGATTGGTTATACTACGTATGAAAACTGGAATTCTACTGATGATATATATATATATATAGCACTCGCTCAATCATTTTTAATTTTGCAACGTAATTTTTTAAGTATTTTTCTAAATATACGTGCTTCCCATTTGCTTACTACATACTTGTATGTAATTATGCACTACTAATCCATGATTACACTAATGATTAGAGATATAATGTTATATTGTAAAATGATTCAGTGATTCACCAACCGGCTACAACGTTTGATTTAATTTGTTATCTAATATACAACTGTATCATAATGGAATGTTGTGTTAAGTAATAAATTTGGAAATAATCAACAACACTAATGAAGATAAAAGACTCCATACACGAAATTACCTTAATAGAATCCCAAGATAGCAAGTAGATTATATAAATAACAATCTCTTGTAACTTTTTCCTACCAATGCAACATGATTCTAAAATAATCACATAATTGTATCAAACTCGTTCTTGGGAATTTTTAGACTATGATAAGACTCTTTTGATTCCAAACCAACTTATATGACTCAAAGGGGATACCCCACACTTTCACTTGAATTTTGTTAAGATTTCAAAAGGCTAGCCTTTAAAGTGTGGATTGCCATTAGTTTTGGACTACTTTCGACTTTTTAGGACCTAAAAAGGAAAGGTTGAAGTGTTTCCTTTGACCCTAAAACACCCCGGGACTCAAATGTTTAAAAATATTCACTTTGCCTTAAAATGTCAATTTATCTATTTACAACTTACGCCCTCTTCATTGTCTCAAAGCCACCATGAACCTTTATATGATCGACTAATTGAGTCATATATGGTTCCAAACAATATAATATGACATGAAATGTATTTCCTACAATCTCGAGATTTTTTTAATGTCGAAGCCCAAAAGAATTTCGATTTCGTGTATTATAGCCTTTAATTTGGTAAAATTGTTGACTTTATAGGACCCATAAGAGAAAAGTGATTGGGGTTGTTCCCATGGACCCCGCAAGGGCCGCAACACCTCAGGAGACCATTTAGGTGGTTGGAATCATCCACTTGCCTATAGACCATTAATTTAGCCATTTGTAAGTACACCTCCCTTAATCAACTCAAGGCCACCGTGGGCCTTATATAACCAACTAGTGGTCATTTATGGTTCCAAACAATATTATATGATCCCATAACAAATCCCCTACAATCTTGAGATTTTTTGACAACGGGCCCAGATACTTCTGAAATTGGTCATATTTCGTGTATTTAACCATAAATTTTAGATAATTTTGGAATTTTCCGAACTTGGAAAGGAAATAGGTCAAGGTGTTTCTTATGGATCCCTTGACACCCCTAAAGGCCATGTGAGTGGTTGAAACCATCCACTTTGCCTTTAAACAATCAATATGATTGTTTTGTATATGCCTCCTTCCATTGGCTAAAGTCACACCATGGGCCTTTATGTGATCGGTTAATAAAAATATATATGTTTCAAAACAACATTATATGGTCCCAAAATACAACCTTTACAATTTGGTGATGTTTCTAACATGGGATCTCGAAAGCTTCAAAATTGACCTAGAGAACAAGGTGTTACCTAGGGTTTCCAAAAGGGCCTTAGGTGGCCTATTTAGTATTTAGTGTCCAAAACCATCTCCTTCATGCTTTGATTCACCCTTCATCACCATATCTTAAGATGTATTCTCTTGTTTTCATAAAATTAAAGAGTACTATTCAAGGTTATCAGGTTGTTTTTCGATATTTGTACTATGTTTTGTATTTGTGAGAGTTTTAAGAGGTTGGTACCCCGAAATTACAAAATAATTTTATCTATAAATTACTAAAGATGGTTAAATAAAGTTTGTGAATAATGCAAAATTTAAAGTGTTGATTAAATTTATTAAACAGGTAGTATAAAGGAGGTTTTTAAAAAATGGAAATCTAACTTGTAGATTGAGCCTCGCTTTAGTCTAGAAGTTAAGTTTGATATGGGCTGGACTATATGGGCCTAAACTATACTTAAAAATTGAAAACTATTATTTGGATGTCTGTGTCACCTCACCTTAACTTGTGTATATTGAGCCCAAAGGGCAAAAATTCAGCATAAAAAATCAGAATCAAGAGATGAACTACATACAAAATTTGGAGATATATGACTAGTAATACTCCAGAAGAAAATGGTGAATGAAGTTATGAAGCTGCAAAATGTATATACATACCATACAGATAACTCGATAAGGCGATAGCACAATTTGTTACCAATTGCATCACAAATCAAACAGGCGCAAAAATGCAAATTTTGAGCTACAAGTATTGGCAGGAAAAGCATGATAATTTAGTGGTAAGGTTTAAAACATACATGCAATGTATTGAACATATAGTAGCTACACAGGCCGATGATGAGAAGTACAGCTGATCAGGGGAAGATCTGCAATTTAACCTAACACCCCATTGTTACTCGTAGATTCAACAACGTGGATAGTTTACTCTTGCTGTCTTGCATATTCTTCTTGTGTAAGAACCTAACTTGTCAATGGAAACGAGTCCTTGCACGAAGAATAGAGTAGCAATTCTTCTCATAAAGTTATGATGTACGTATTAGATTACATGTTCAATACATATTTGGCTCAATGCCTAAAAGTCTAAAACTCTATCGTAACATTTTTTCAAAGTTAAAAAATTTATTGTCAATATACAGGCATAAGGCTGGAGTGATTAACTACATAAACTCTACGAAATAAAATTTATTGTAAATGAACCGCTGTTTCAGCTCAAATCCTCAACAAAAAGTAAACATGAGCTACACTGCAAAATTTGGAAAAAATTTGCCAGTAAATATTTTTCACAACATATAATCAAATTACAGTTTACCAATCTTATGTAGCAAAAGCAGCTGGTTTAGCAGGTTTTTCAGGCTTCATTGAACAAAAGAGATTAAGAACATCTGCATGATTCCTGATATATTGTGGGCACATGGCCAGCAGATTTTGAGCTTTGCTATGCCTTCCAGCCTTCAAAAGTGCTTCAAATACTCGGAGGAAAACGTTGGTGGATGGATACTTGTTCACAGTCATAGCCTTGAAAAAGACCATGGCCTCATTCGCAGTTCCTCTCTTCACAAGGTAAGTTATAAATGGATCCAAGAATGGAGGGAACCCATTATTCTTCATCAAACCAAGAAGACTACAGGCTTCTTGGAAACCCTTCTGAACCAAGAGCTTGCTAATTAGAGTCTTGTATGTAGTATGCCCCGGCTTTATGTCCACTTTGTTAACAATATCAGATAGTACCTTGAAAGCTTCAGCAGCTCTGTCTCTGTTGCAGTAAGCATTTACCAACAAATCAAGCGCATATCCAGCAGAAGTGGCTTCCTCCTTTTCAACCATCTTTTCGAAACAGTCCTTTGCCTTTTCAAGATCACCACCAATACAATGTCCTTCAATCACCGATACCCATGTCCTGTGATCAGGGGTCATACCACACTCCTCTAGTTTCACCATAAACTCATTCGCTTCATCTTTCATCCTAGAACTACTTAGATCAAAAGCAACCCTATTTTGCATAGCCCCACTCGGATTATACCCACCTTTAACCATAGCATCTAAGACATTGTTATACATCCTCATCCTCCCAACACTGGTCAATGATTTGAGCACAGCATCCAGCATAGAATCATCCAAAGCATAACCCTTATCCGTAAAGGCCTTAACAACTCTGGAAAACAGTTCCATGTCAAGCACCTTGGCAACAGCTATTTTCTTCAAAAGAAACGTGCAGTCCCGTCGAGAAGGCCTGTTTGCCCCATTCATCGCAACCTCATATAGGCTAACCGAATCCTTCATCATTCTCTTTTTGACAAACCTTTCCAAGACCTTAACATAAGTATCCAACTCTATCTCATACCCTGCATTTTTCATATCCTCAATTACAATCCAAAACCTATACAAGCATTCTTGTCTACCCAATACGACCGCCATCGCGTTATAAGTTTGCTGATCATGTTTAAACAAACCACTCTCTTCCACCCACCTAAAAAAGATCAAACCCTTCATAGGTTCTTCACTAAGCTTCTCCAATACCATTTTAACCAATTCAGTAGTATACTCAACACCTAATGCACTCAACTCCTTCTCAACATTCTCATCCCAAGCTTCCCTCCTAACAATCTTACTAACCCTAGCCGAAGCCGTATCGACCGATGCCCCAGTTAGGTCCTTTGAATACAAACCCTTCAATTTCTCAACATCAGATTGCAAACCATCTTTCTCAAACCTCTCTAATACCTTATCAAAAGCACCCTTCCTAACCCCATAACCCCTTTTCCTCATAGATTCAACCATTTCCCAGAATTCCTTAACAAGCGCATTACTACCCAGAATCCCTAACATGAAATTATAAGCTTTCGAGCTCAAACTACCATTTTCCCTTTCCAAAACCCAATCAAATAACTTAATTGCAGCTTTAGGATCCGAATTAAGATCTCTAAGCACATTTACAAGCAGATCACGAGTAATAACAACATTATTAGCATCTAATTCGTTCTTAATCTCATCCCCATTAATGGGTTTATTGAAGATACTGAGTAAAGTCAAAGATTCAGGTGATTTTTCATGAATAGATGAAAAATGACGCAGAAAAGGGTGCTCAAAATGGTTGAAATGAGGGGAAAAGGAGGAAGTAGATAGAGAAGATTTGGGAGTGGAAGTTACCTGGAGGTGAGAGAGTGGTCTGGAGACGGATGTTGGAGAGAGAAAGTGACGATTACGAAGAAGAAGACGCCATTGATTTCTCATGTTGCAGAGCTTCGAACTGAAATTTGAGATGAATTTTTTGGAGAGAGAGAGAAGAAAGAAGTGTAGGGTTTTTGGGGGAGATTTTAGTTGGAAAAGTGTTGGGCTATCAGATGTTAAAATGGGCCTATTGATTTGACGAGTAATTGAATTTGGGTTTGTTACTGCTGCTCCGTTTAGGGCCTGTTTCGATTTACTAAAATGAACTAATTAAAATGAAGTGAATTGAACTCAATAGAGCTAAAATGAATTGCTAATGAGAGAAGAAAATTAAGAATTGAATTGATTGGAGCTGAACTAAACTGAAATTAAGCTGAACAGAATAAACCCTTAGCTGCTTGATGGGAAATTGACATTAACTCAAATTTGCCTCGGTTTGCGTGTTTTGGTACTTGAGAGGATAACTTACTTTGATAAGGTTTTGGACTTTTGGGGATCATTGTGATCCCTATGGGTCAAATACTCAGATTTGAGATTGATTGAAAAATTGGCAACAAAAAAAATAAATAGAAAAGCCTCGGCTTCGAGTGCATAGAATTACCTTACATTGCGTGCTTCGGTTTCCAAGATACAAAAGTGCTTAGTTAAGGTTGGGATCAATTTGACTCGTAAAGATCAAGTAAGAGGATAAACATCTAAATTTGTTTGCATGGAATCGTCTCAGTTTGCACGCTTCGATTTTTGAGTCACGGAAATTGTTGTGTTAAAGTGTTAGAGATCATTTGGCCCTTCATGATCAAAGCTAAGGTCGATATTAGCAAAAAAAAATTATAAATAAATAAATACATGTCTCATTTTGAGTGGGTGGAATTGTCTCAATTTGCGCGTTTCAATTCCAAGACATCATTTTTGCCCGGTTCATGTTTTGAGGATCATTTTGGCCTCTTAAGCCTCAAATTTAAGGTCGAGCTTTCATTATTATGAGATAAGTTTGAGATGGGGATTTGACGGGTCTAAGATGGGGATTAGGTAGGTGGTGAATACTAAATTGAATGGTTTAAGACAAACAAGTATAGTTAGTACGTAGTTATTATTCAAACACCAATACCATAAATTTGATTCTTGGGGGTATCACTAAAGTTTAGACGAAATTTAGACTACGAAGACACAAGTTAACATAATTCAGAGTAATAGTTCTAAAATCAACACTTCACTACAATACATTAGTACGAGCAACATTCATAGCTTCATACACTCAATTCCTCTAAAGTACACCCAATATCAAGCGTTTCTAGCTCCATCACTAAAGTCAGAAATAGAGTTAAAGTGGATTTGTGGTTGATCATCCATATATCCTAAAGACTTACAGTGCCATTCAATGAGGAACTTCCAACTTGCAGAAAACTCTCACTTTTACAAAGAAGTGAAGAGAGAGTAACTTTGTAAGATGAAGAACACATAAAAACCTTGTTTGGCAAATGGCTGTTGGCGGTTGGCTGGTTCACTTGGCTAAATGTTTGGCTGTTTATAATGGCTTTTGAAATTGGCTGTTTACAAAAGTGTTTGGTAAATTAATTGGTGGTTGTTGGCTGTTTATTAGATAATTTGTGGGCCAACAAGCCAAAAGCCAACAAAAAGCTACTCAAAGCAGCTTTTTCATTTTGGCTTAAAAGCCAGCTTTTTCGCTGACTAAAAAGCCAATTACCAAACACATTTTTTGGCTGTTTGACCACCTTAAAAAGCCAAAAGCCAAAAGCTAACCAAAAAGCCATTTAAAAGCAAATTACCAAACATGGCCAAAATCTTAAAACACAAGTCATAAACCTTATACCAATTACCATTTACCAACTCCAAGTATGAAGTATTATTTAGTCTAAAACAAAGTCAAATTATACTACGTGTATAGAAATTCATGAAAATAGATATACAAATTATTCATCATAAACAACCAATTAGTTCAAGTGAATCCATTATTGCATACTTTGCTAGCTTCAATTCGCCCCCTGATCATAGAATGTATCCTAGTAATCAATCCAAAGGACGAAGTTCAATACCATGAACAATAAGACCACGTTTCCAATTGAGATCTTCAACCTGCCTTAAACTCATCTCTAATACCACTCCTTGATCAGCATCAGCACCAACTTGATACCTACCCATCTCTATTTCCATCCACCCATCACCTCTTGTAACCGGAAGCTCTTCAGGCCTCCTCGAAAGTCTCCTAACTGAGGGTTCCTTAAGATAGAATTTCTTAACAACCACGGTGTAATCTTGTGTAGGTAGCCCTTCTTCGGTAACCTCTGAAATAGATACATTCACTGGTGTATATTCAAATCCTTGATGATTGTCATCATCCATTTTAAACACAAAATATGCACCATAAGTTGTCTTTGGTGAAAGGACTTTGGTGTGCATTTTCCCTTTTATGTCTAGCCAGCATACATTTTCGAGCACAGCAGCTTCTGGAAACCTAAAGAATAAGAATGCATATAGCACATATGCACAACAATAACTCAATTTACTTAGTAGTCGTAACAACTAACAAGATTTATCAAAGGGTATGCACATACATTCATGATTTGTTGATTTAAATGCATTGAAATTCACAAGTGATCGGCTAGAAGATATATGCAATAGAAAAATCTGGTTGAACAGATGCTAAGCAAGTAGGCATTGCGATTTAAAAGACTTTATACTACAGAGTTGAAAAAAGTTCATTAAATCTACACATGGCAAAGTTCGTTACATATACCTGAAGTCCAATTGGCAACTTGCTGACCTAAACTTGAATGGATTTAACAATTACTGTATCCAACAAAGAGTAATTTCTCATAATAAGCCATGAAATGAACTGAATATAAATCGATCCAACCAACCTGCATTTGAAACAAACTGAGCTAGTCCCAACTCAAACATGACTCGAACCAAATCTGATCCTAATGCGTGACAGTTTGTTGCAAGTATGAAATCATGCGCTAGTTCATTTCATCTATATACAGAGTACATAGTTTTTATGCCATACAGCATTTCACAACATCGGATGATTGCATAAATGGAAAGAGACAGAGAGAGACACCTTGATTCAGGTACTGCACTCCAACTCCAATACTGAGGTGTGCCTCCCCATGTAATCATCAGGGCCCTAGCCCCAAGCATGTAGCAATTCTTTCCAATCCATTTATCCAAGCCAAAGCTCTAATTCATGTGTGTACACATATATAAAAAGCATTAAATATAATTCACAATAGCAAATTAACAAGGAAAAATTGAAGTGTACAATTTTTAAAGTTGACAAAAGGTTGATTATCCTTGTCATACTCGTTTTACAATGTTTCCAGGCATAATATATGTTACCCCTTCCGCCCCTTAATTTCCATCATTTCCTTTTTGAAAACTCGAATAAGATTGACTAACTAATTTAGCTGACATCTGGTCCACATCATTGCAATATAGTTAAAGTATTCACATAACCAAGAAAAATTTACTTGATCTAACAAATAGTGCTATAAAAGTCAAAAACTTGATCGATGAACAACAAAATAAAGCAGATGACTAAGATATGAAAATGAAAAGTTTACCTGAGTATTATTGTTGAGGAGAATAGAACGGCAGAGATGTGTAAAGAGGTCCTTCTTAGAAGTAAGTTGATGAACTATAGAAGATACAGAAGATCGAGAGATTATTTCATCAGCACAAGCCGACGGCAGAAATTTCTCCCACACGGTATTGGATCCCGAAGCCAAATAGAATTGCTTAGACACCAGCTGTGATCGGAGGACATCGACAGGGGACGTCAAAGAAAGGATATGCGACAGGCACTCTTCAGGTAACTCCAATATGTTCATACAAGACATGTTCAACCTTTCTAGTTGTAGATGATGATATTTGGTAACTTGGTAAGAAAACTTTTAGGCTAAGAAGGTGACTATTTCTTAGATAAAAAGACTTGGAATACTTCCTGAGTAGCTGGCAGTCTGGCAAACTATATTATGTTAATGGTCACAATTGCTTTTTGCTTAGGTTGAAAGACTTGAAACTAGCAAACAAATTAGAATTATAGACTTTGACTAGATATGATTGGTACTACGTATATAATTAGAAAAAGACTGTTGAGTTTACTTGATGAAATACGAAATTTTCTAATCTGCAATGAAACTTAAGAAATGATATCCTTGATCCAGTGTGACTTCATTGGAAATTTTGTATTATAAGCATTATGTAGATTAGAAAAATCAATGAGGTGTCCATAATAATACATTGTTAATACGAAAATACGCGCAATATCAAACACTTCCAGCTCGACCACTTAGTCAGAAATAGAGGTAAAGTGGATGATCATCCTAAAGACATGCTGTGCCAGTAATCATACAACTCTAGCCTCTTAATTTATTATGAGGAACTTCCAATATGCAGCCTAAACAAGCACTTCCTTGCAGAAATTTTTCAGATTAATAGATGGCCTGGAGTACTCGCCTGACATTATCTTGGATGCAATGACAGCATTGGCAGCTTCAGTGTAATGAACTCCATCCCAGCTCACAGAATGAGATGGATCAGCGCAAGCAGTTGCTGTCGGTTCACCACAAGTCTTCTTGTCCACATAGTTATAGGGAGGCCCTCCGTTGCCACAGCAAGCCATTAATGGGTTTTCAAAGCCTGGATGTAATTATAATGCAACATTAATCTGTAACCTTTCAGTTCAGTAAAATATAGCTTCAATTTTGAAAACATTTATTAGAACTCACCATATCTCCCAGGATTGGCAAACAGATCATATTTGATAGCATACATATCAACGTGCACAACTAAAGCCTCCTTGAGTTCGGTTCTTAATTTATCACAGAGGTTGCTCAAACCGTCATTGAAAGCCTTTGCACCATTGTTATAAAGTGCCAGGCACCCCAATTCATCCAGTTCACTGTCATTCTTCTTTCGCAATGCTAGAGTTTGTGGTAAGCAGCCTAAGGGCCCAGTATTGTATATCCAAAATTTTCTAGCACCAAGTTTGTATAATGCCTGTAATATGAACAGGTGAACCAATCATGAGACTTGTAGATTATTGTGTTAAGTATTGCTCAAACAAAGCGGAATGAGACGGTTGAATCAGTCAGTATAGATGAAAAAGAAACAGGGAGGTATTTCCTTGAGGCAGTGACTAAATTTAATTTAATAGAAATGAAAGCTGTAAAGTAAATACAAAAAAATTAACTAACACTCATGCAACAACTATGTAAGCAGACCTTAGTAGAATTTTCAATCCTCTCGAGGATGATTGGAATTTTGTTGACAACTACTTGATATCTTGAGTTTGCTACAAGAGCAAGATTAACATCATTCTGCCCAATGTCTATTGAATAAACAGCATTCCTGAACTCCTTTTCATTGATCATTGATCCTTTACCTGTGACAATGTAAAGCAGGGTAGTATGATATAATTTCTAGATAAGCAATGGTAAATTTCAAAGCGTTGACTGAGCCAGAAGTGACTAACATAAAAACAAGCACTGTAACAACACACTCAAACAGTTTCTTGTAAACACTGAATAAAACAAACAGCAACACACCGAAAGTACCTCGTCCCCTGAGCTCTCTTGTGCGATTCTGGAAGTGGCCAAATTGCCCTGCCTGAGTGGATATTGAGAAAGGGTTGTACAGACTAACTTCAGTAGAAGCACCAGCTACAGCAAAATTTACACCATGGCTAAAATCTGACCCTGAAGATTCTAGGTATGCGCTTAGAAGATCCATCTTCAAGTTCTGACCTGTAAGATAAGCAAAAAATTTATCTTCTACATAAACTTTTACTGAACACCACTCAGTTTATACCAAAATCTGAACAAAACCCAACTAAAAGTATCTGTACAACAATACATCAATTAGCTGTTTGATATAAGAAAAAGGCGTACAAACGAAATCGATGTATAGTCGACCATTACAGAAGCGACCAGTGGGCCTGTGGAAGAACTGCTGACCAGATGGGGGGCCTAGATAGAGGCCAAGAGCAGTCATAAGAGCTCCCGGGTCAGAGTTTGAATCCCCAAAATTGAAGAGAACACAGTTTGAGTGAGCCAACCCCAGTGCAGGAAGAATTACTAGCATTGAGAGATACAACTGGAATCCAAAAAGGACACGAAGCCTAGCATGTTGATCTCTCATTTCTTCCCTTCACCTTTCTTTCCGCTATAAACTTTGTTCTATAGACAGCATTACTTGTTCTTTAGTATTTATAATCTTCATCTAAACTTTTACTATGAGTATTCTATCAGCAAACAGGAAAAATCACATGCAGCTAGTCAATTCTATATTATCCAATACTAGAATACGGAATATTCAACTAGATGGGGATGAAAGCTTGCTATATTTTTTTCATGAAGATAAAGTGGCATAATTATAAGAGACTTTAATTTAAAACCACTTGGCTATGTTCAACTTGCAAAAAGTCAAATCACTGCCAAGATCCTAAATTTAGTAACTTCAAAAGTAAATTGACTAGCTAGTGGCACTCATAAAGGACTTTATTATCCTCAACCAAGGATTACTTGTTCATTAGGTTGCATTGTTTAATAGAAAGTTTTGCTGATTTGCTGATGTAACGATGCAATGGATAAGCAGGCCCAAAACACTTAACACATAAATGGACAGGACATTAAACATAGAGAAACATCCTGCTGCTACTTCAAAAAGCTCATCTAACATAGCATTATAGGTTATAGCAATGATAATGGGATCTCTGACAGAAATTTTAGATAGGTCTACTTGTGTTGTTGATGAAGTCTTGGTCTTCTCCATAGTACAGATGTTGTGTATGATTAAACATTTTCCTAATATGGAGTACAATATTTTAATCTTCAGGACATTATTATATAGACAGAATACTCCGAATCTGCAGGTTTAAAGAACTTAAATTTAAGGAATTTTTTGGGCTGCATTATGCAAATTGACATTAAACAACATTAGAAAAGAAAAGAGAATGACGTTTAATGCAGTACAATTATATGATATAGTACAACACATCACGTATAAGTAAAGATCTATCATATGTCAAAAAAATATAAACAAGTATTGACTTAGTCCATTTGCACAGCCCAATTGTATTAGTATCACGTGGATCATAATAACAATCACGCCTTCAAATATTAGTAGCCTTCATGGAGAGAAAGTAAAGCACTAGGATTGAAACTCGAGATGAAATATGCTTACGTTGTTTTTGGGTGAGACTATGTGAGAATCATACTTGCATATTTATAATTTGCACCTACGTATTTAGCTCTAGAATAAGCTAAGCTTGATGGTCATTGTCTTCCAATGTCTTCTTATTAGGAAATACAATATTAAACAGAATCTAGGAACTTAAATAGAAAACATATATTTTATATGGAAGCTCCTAAAGTAGGAAAAAAAAAAACTTTTGTAGAAAATCTATCAACACAAACCTTTTCCAGTGTCCCCACAGTCCACAGTGAATGTTGCTGTTGATACTCCATCCAGCCAGAATCCAAGTTTGTAACATTGTTAATCCTCCCATGTCCCAGCTGACTCATACAGAAAATGAGATACAGGGGTGGCATAAGGGATGCCGCTGCATTGTGCAACAACTAACAAACATCAACTTCATAACCTCCTTAGAAGCAAAACTTGATATCTACTAACTCTATTCACCTCACTTCCACTTATGGAAGCAGTCCTCTTACAAACACAGACGAAGTAATAAGAAATCGCTTTATAAAAGGCTACAACGGAGTGTCTGACCACATACAAGACCAACAAAGTTCTACCCTAAAACCAATCACCAGAGTTGGTCATAATCCTTCCTAGTATGGGAATGTGTCCAAACTCACATATAGGTTTTCCTTAACATAACTCGGTTTGACAAGAATTAGGCAAATATACAGGCTCAAACTAACAGTTCAATCTTTCTTTTTGCCATAGATTTCTCAAATAGTAATCAGCAAAGCAAAATTTACTTGAGCCAGGCCACTACTGAAACCAAGATCAAAGCATCAAGATTTGGGCTTTTCTGGGTACAGTAATCATCCAAGAATCACATTAATTTTCATTTTTTAATCACTGGTCAATCACCAGAAATTATACTCCAGAAAGTAAAGAGCTTTTTGAGTTGGGTATTTCATAAACAAATGGTATGTCCTGTAAATAGAAGAAATAAACTAACCCTATTCTCACTTGAGCATTTCGTCGAACACCTGATATGCATCCTCTGCTCCACCCCCTCTCATCAATCATTCCATCTCTTTGACTGAATCTAACGGCTCACAATTACCCATGCTTGAAATTAAACAGTGGGCTGTGGGTACAGTTCAAATTTGTCAATTCTGAAATTAATTAACAACCAGTTATTGAAAACGAGGGATATTGATGTTAACTTTTGTCATTATTTGCAAGAGGTCAAGAAAGAATACCCCTTTAATTGAACAAGCTTTTGCGTAAAGAGAACTTCTTCTTTGTTTGGTAGATTTTTCAGGAAAAAGAAAGCGATTACTATACTTGGCATCTAATTAAGCATTGATGCCCCACCTGGTGAAATGAATGGATTCTAATCAGCCACTCTGGTGAATTTGAATTAAAGTTCTAGGGAGTAGTAAGATAAAAATGCTTGGCATGGGCTAGGTCGTATAAGTTTACCTATGGCAATTCCGGGGTCAAGGCAAAGTTATGTTATGACGATATTTCATAAATAAGGCTCATACACAATTTGGGACCTTGGGTCCTAGCCAATATACAGAATTTCATTGTGTCATTGGTTAATCGGTTTAAAACTTAAGGAATTAGCATGCACGATGACTTATCGTGCTTATGCCAAATTTTGGTAATAATGTCTCTATATAGTCTATGGTCCATCAATGTGGACTTCACATAATCACATCTACTAGGTCAATTTTTTGCTAGACTCAAACATTAAATCTGTTAGTCATACCCAACTCTAGATCTTTAAATACCAAGATATTAAATTGTGTCTATTTAGAAGAAATTTTGTGACTTCAAGTGTGAAACATGTTCCATTTTATTGATGAATACTTCTCGAGGAAGAATAGGTTTTCAATTTTCCCTGTAACGTGCATGTTCATTTAAAATATAAACCAAATTAAGACTTACAATAAAGTAATAAAAACCTAAATCAAACCAAAATCTAATAAGACACAATTTTATTTTATTTTTTTTGAATGCAGACACAATTTAATATCTTAATTCTTGAAATTTCAGCTTCTAAGTTGAGTAATTGTTCATCCATTAAAATTTAAGCATGACTCGTGAATCATCTAGAGTAAAACCGTTAAAACCAGTAGTTCTCGCATTATTATAAGGCGCCAAAGTTGTAGCAGTGAAGTTCCATTTAGACACGTTTAATATATGTGTTGAACGACTGGACGAATGAAGGCGAGGGTCCATTTAAGCACCTTGCACAATCTTTCCAACGCATTTCTCTCTTCCATTTTCTCTCTCTTCTATTTTCTCTCTCTAAAGTTTCCTCAATTATCGGATTCAAAGATTCAATCTTTCTCTTGGGATTTCTTCGTTCAATGATATTTACTATTTTTTGAGTGAGGTAAGTATAATTTTTGCTTTTGATTTTTTCTTCTTTTTTCTGCAAATTAAATAATTTTTCTTTTTAATTTGTTTTATTTTTATGCTTATTTAATATCTTGGAGTATTTAAATTATACTCCATTAATTTAATTGGTTCAGACAGATCTTTTGACTTTTTATTTGTTTATTGATCTAATGTTTTTTAACTAGTATGCAAATCTACAATTGGTTTATACTGATACAAATTGTATTAGAATAATGTCAGATTATGCTGATTGATAAATCATGTTGTTATTATGCTTAATTTGGGAAAGTGTATTTGATAGTTTATTATTGGTGTGAGAAATCATTGATTGAAGTAAGTTCAGTAGTTTTTTTGTCAATAGCTAGGGTTTTGATGGTTGAAAAGAAGGAGAGTAATGATTGATGATATTTTGGAGGAATTAGCATAATTGGTTTCTGATGTAACGATTCTATTGAAAAGAAAGTATAGTATTTTATGTTGCTAGGTAGTTTTATAGTTAGCCTTACAGTGGGACTTGGGACTTTGGGAGTAAGGCTGGCAACGAGCCGGACCGAACTCTAACATGGCTCAGCTTGGGTTGATTGAATTATACAGAATTCGATCTCAAAGCCGGACTCACCTTGAACTTAAACATCAAATTCAAACTTTGTGCTCAAGTTTGGCTCGTTAACAAACTAACCAAACCCAAACCGAATGATTCCTTCTATTTGTTATTGCATTATACTCTGGCCTTACAATAGTTGATTTATACAGAATAGGAGAAATTATAATTTTCCAAAGCTGGAAATCTTGCGATTAACATAGTTGAGTTAGTTGGTGTCCATCTTAACAAAGATTGGTCAGTGATCATGGACATTTGATCCATTTGCTTTGATTTGGGGTTGGGGTGATGGGAGAGGATGACAGTTTTCAGATGGTGATTTAGGGACTTGTGTATTTCATTTAAAGTCGTTTTAATGGAAAAGCATATATACTGAAGAGTTTGAGATGTAAAGAATGAAGCTTGTATGAAAGTGGCCAAATTCAACCTAATAAAAAATTGAGGTTATGTTTTTTTGTCGTGAAACATAAGAAGGATGTGGCCATGTAGGATAATAGAACTCATTTCTCATTGAACTGTTGTTGTACGTCAATGTATTCCAGTACTGAGTACTGACTCTTAGGGAAAGATATGTATACATTAATAGTCATAACTCGAGTGATTTTCTTCTCATGTTTTTCATTGAAATACTATTAGCTACTAGACATGCATTCTTTGTGATTTCTTGCTTCCTTTCAACCGTTTTCCCTGAAGATCTGACTATGTGACATCCTTAATTTCATAAAATTGTGTTATGGTTCACTTGTGCAGAAACCGTTTATCTTTCACATGGATGTTCTTCTCTACCATGCAGCACCTTCTCATGTACGATCACAGTTGATAGAGAAAAAATCAACTTCACCAGGATTGCAGCCTTTTTTAGGGGAAAAAACACAAGTCCTATGTACCCCAAGGAAACATTATTTAGTGAAAAACCTACATCATCAAGAAGCTTCAGGGTCACTTAACTCTATTCAAAATCGTCAGATTGCACCAAGAGCTTTCAATGAAAGTTTTAGTGGGACTGTGGTTGGTGGGGAACAGAGTTTGGAAGATATATCAGATAGAGCAGATTCAGTGCCAAAGGTTCTGATCCCAGGGTTGCCAGATTATTCAACGGGTGAATCAAGTACTTCCGTTAGTAGTTGTTATTGGGAATGGAAACCAAAACTTAACGTGCATTATGAGAAAGCTGGATGTGAGAATGTAAATTCCCCACCAGTTCTTTTCCTTCCTGGATTTGGTGTTGGCAGCTTTCATTATGAAAAGCAGCTGAAAGATTTAGGGCGTGACTTTAGAGTATTTGCTCTGGATTTTCTTGGCCAAGGCAAGTCATTGCCTTTTGAAGATCCTGCTCCTTTGTTGAAGGAAGTAAATCTCTCTAAACAGAAGGATGAGATATGGGGGTTTGGAGAGAAAGCTGAACCATGGGCAGAAGAACTTGTTTACTCTGTTGATTTATGGAGGGAGCAAGTGCAGTCTTTTATTGAGCAGGTAAACTATTTAATGTTCCAAGATTTCTGGATAAAGCTGTCTGATCATTACTTTATTGATCATACATTACCCAATTTGCTCACTTAGATGACAAAGAGCTAAGATTATGGTGCATACCATAGCTCTGAGCCTCTGAGAACTTGGCCCATATTATTGGCTTTTTATTTCGGAAAAAATCCTTTCTCTATTTGACTAGACCCAATAAGAGACTTTAGCTGTACTTTTTCTATGGAACTCACATGTTCTACTGACTTAGGCCCTGTTTGATTCACCTTAATTTTGCTGAACTGAAATTATTTTTACTGAACTGAACTTATTTTTACTGAACTGAACTTAATTTTACTGAACTTAAATTATTTTTACTGATTTTCTATTATAATTCTTCTTTAAGAAAACTGAATTATACTGAACTGAACTTATTTTTACTGAATTGAAATTATTTTTACTGAATTGAAATTAATTTTACTGAACTGAACTTATTTTTACTGAACTGAAATTATTTTTACTTAATATTATTTTTTTAAGGTGAATCAAACAGGGCCTTAGTATGTAAATGCTGCTGCTTGCTGCCTTTTTCAATTAGTCGCAGCCATGTGTAGCACTTTCTCCTTATTCTTGCATACCATTATCATCATTACTTCCCGAAACCCCTTCAAGAACTATCGAACACGGATTTAATGAACCCTACTTAAATGATTGCAGGTCATTGGTGAACCAGTTTATATTGTGGGGAATTCACTTGGAGGATATGTTGCCACCTATTTTGCAGCATGTAACCCTCAGTTAGTAAAGGGTGTTACTCTGCTCAATGCAACACCTTTTTGGGGATTTCTTCCAAATCCTACAAAATCTCCTTTGCTATCTAGGATGTTTCCTCCAGCTGGAACTTTTCCTCTGCCTGCTAATGTAACTAAGCTCATGGACATAGTGTAAGCTTCATATCCCATCTCTAATAATTGATTTTTATGCAACTTCCCTTGGCAACCCCATATTCTGTTCATTGCTTACTAGAATAAAATTTTAACTGCTGCTTATGAGTGCAAGCCTTTAATTTCGCCTTTTGTTATTGTAGTTGGCAAAAAATGAGTGATCCGGAAACCATAGCAGAGCTGCTCAGGCAGGTTTATGCAGACCATTCAACAAATGTTGATAAAGTCTTTTCTCAGATAGTGGAGACAACAGAACATCCTGCTGCTGCTGCTGCATTTGCCTCAATCATGTGTGCCCCCACTGGTGAACTATCTTTTGACGAGTCTTTATTAAGGTAGGTACACCTAGATTATCCTCCTTGTATCTTCACCTGCGTATATCAGTTTAGATCTCATGGCTTCAAATGTTGAGATCCTTTATTTTGTAAATGTGTAGATGTCGAGAAAGCAATGTTCCTGTTTGTCTCGTGTATGGGAAAGAAGATCCATGGGTGAAGCCCTTTTGGGGACAACATGTGAAGAAGCAACTTCCAGAAGCTTCGTACTATGAAATTAGCCCTGCAGGTCATTGCCCTCATGATGAAGTTCCTGAGGTATGCCTCTGCTACCCAATTTCTGTACATGCTTGATTACTCATTAGTCATTAATCCTGGATGTACCCTATTCTTTGTATCCGCCTTTCTAAATTACAGAATTTTTTCATTGTATATGTAGGTGGTGAACTATTTACTACGTGGTTGGATCAAAAGTGTAGAAGCGAAGGGGTCTGTCACACTGCCTTTGCTTGATGATCCAGAGGCTGTCCAAGATAATCTCACTAAGGACGTGGAATTTATAAGGGAAGACTCTAAAAAGTTAGTAAGAGTACGCTTTTTTGGCTCACAATTTTCGCTTTGGAAGCTAATACAATCTCAGATCAAAGATAGATTTAGGAACTTAAGATTGAAACCTCAATGACGAAGTCATGCACGAGTCATAGCTGCAACCTCTTGTAGATATGTAAATTTGCCTTATTCTTGTAATTGAACATACAGGATGTATTACTGATTAGTAATCAATGCCTGTGAAATTCTTACGCTTGTGCAGATAAATTGCTTAGTGTGATGAATCAAGGAAGAGTGTATTTGTAATCTGTCCAAGTTTGTATGTACAGTGATTTGTTAGAATATAATGTTGACCAATTGTTGAGTAGTCACAACTCGCAAGAACCCCATGTGCGAAACCTAATAGGACTACTTTGAATGGAACTATTTAAAATGTTTAATACTCCCTCGGTCTCCTTTAGTTCTTTCACTTCTTTGGTTTGTTAGAAACTTAAATACTGTAGTAAATATTACGCTGGATTTCTTATTACAGATTTAGACGTTGTTCACTTCACTTCAAAAAAAAAAAAAAAAAAAAGAAGTAATAATAATCTCTGTTCAGTAGCAAAAATAATTTCAGAAAATCAGTAAAAATAATTTTAGTTTAGCAAAGATAATTTCACTTTAACAAAATTAACTTTAGTTCATTAAAATTAATTTTATTTTAGCAAAAATAAAGTAAAGTGAGGTGAACGGGTCTTACTTGTAGGTGAAAACGAGAAATACTGGCGTTTTCAGCCACCGATTCAAAGAAAAGATATGTATATGGCAAAAATTTTCCTTTCCGAGTAAAATTGTAAGATTGTGTTCGCTTTACCTTAAAAAAATAATTAAAAAATAATAATAATTTTAGTTCAGCAAAAAAATAATTCAGTTCAATAAAATTAATTTCACTAATTTCAATTTATTAAAAAATAATTTCAGTTTAATAAAAATATCTGTTAGTTTAGCAAATATAAGGAACACATGTTTGCATTGATACAAATTACCAATTGAGAACTCAACTGCCGAAATATAACGACCAAAAAACTGGAAAAACCATTACTTCAAACCTTTCATGACGCAAATATTTTCCAGTTGTTTCTTCAAAAGATCTCTTGTAATTTTTCATGTATATTCTATACGATTATCATTCATCAATACATTTTCTACTGGTGACTGGAAACAAGCAGCAATCACCAAGAAGAAGACTTTTTCTCACATTTTCCAAGAATGTACTCATCAAAGAGCTATAAATCCGGGCAAACAAGCACATTCCCAGATGATAATTTCTGGGTTCGAACCCACAATCTTTGTTACCAATTGTTTGATTCAAATGTATGTAAAATGCTCGCGGTTAGGGTATGCACGCAAGGTGTTTGACCAAATGCCTCAACGAGATACAATCTCTTGGAACTCCATGATTTTTGCGTATTCTGGGGAAGGCAATATGGAAGTTGCGCAGCTTCTTTTTGATTCAATGCCAGAGAGGGATGTAGTGTCATGGAATACCTTGATTTCGAGTTATTTGCAGAGTAGGAATCATCATAAATGTGTGGAGATTTTCTTGCAGATTGTTAAAGAAGGCGTGTGTTTTGATCACACTACCTTAGCTGTGGTTCTGAAATGTTGCTCATTTTTGGAGGACTTTATACTAGGTATACAAATTCACGGGCTTGCGGTGAAATCGGGTTTGGAGAGTGATATGGTGACAGGAAGTGCTTTAGTTGATATGTATGCAAAATGCAAATATTTGGACGAGTCCTTGAGGTTCTTCTATGCAATGCCTGAAAAGAATTGGGTTTGTTGGAGTGCATTAATCGCGGGTTTTGTGCAGAATCATCAGTTTACTAATGGTTTGGAATTGTTTAAGGAGATGCAGAGTCAAGGATTGGTTGTAAGCCAATCAACTTATGCTAGTGTCTTTAGGTCATGTGCAGGGCTATCTGCACTTAGTTTAGGCCATCAACTGCATGCTCATGCTTTGAAGACTAACTTTGGTACTGACATCATCGTCGCAACTGCTACTTTAGATATGTATGCGAAAAGTAAGAGTTTAGTAGATTCTAGGAAGGTATTTAACTCTATGCCCAAACATAGTGTGCAATCCTATAATGCCATGCTAGTTGGTTACGTGCAAAGTAATCAAGGTCCTGAAGCATTAAAGTTGTTTGTAAATCTGATAAAATCTGACCTTGGCTTTGATGAAGTTACTCTGTCAGGTGCTTTTAGTGCCTGTGCTGTGGCTAAACAATTATCAACAGGTTGTCAACTGCATGGTCTGGTTATGAAGAGCAAATTTCAGTCTAATGTTTGTGTAACAAATGCAATTTTGGACATGTACGGAAAATGTGGAGATATTTTAGGAGCAAAAGGTGTTTTTGATGAGATGATTAGAAGGGATGCTGTGTCTTGGAATGCGATAATTGCAGCTTGTGAGCAAAATGGTCTGGAAGAGGGAACTCTACGCCTGTTTGTTGAAATGCTGGCTTGTGGGATGGAACCTGACGAATTTACTTATGGCAGTGTTTTGAAAGCTACAGCTGGAAAGCATTTTGCAAAATATGGCATGGAGCTTCATACCCGAGTTATCAAATCTGGAATGGGCTTTCACCCTTTTGTGGGAAGTACTTTGGTGGATATGTACTGCAAGTATGGATTGATTGATGAGGCTATGAAGCTTCGTGACCGACTAGGAAAACAAAACATTGTTTCATGGAATGCAATTATTTCAGGCTGTTTACAGCAAAATATGGAAGATGAAGCCCTGCGAATTTTTTCTTTGATGTTGGGAACGGGCATTGAACCTGATAATTTTACTTATGCAACAGTTCTAGATACCTGTGCTAACCTGGCAACCGTGGGACTTGGGAAGCAAATCCATGCTCAAATCATTAAGCATGAACTGCAAGCCGATGTATATATTGTAAGCACTCTCGTCGACATGTATTCAAAATGTGGCAATATGCAAGACTCTCAGCTCATGTTTGAAAGGGCTTTAGAGCGGGATTTTGTGACATGGAACGCAATGATATGTGGTTATGCTTATCATGGTTTTGCGGAAGAGGCTCTCCAAGTCTTTGAAGATATGAAGAGAGAGAAAGTAAAGCCAAACCATGCAACTTTTATTGCAGTTCTCCGAGCTTGTGGTCATATGGGGCTAGTTGAAAATGGCTGGGATTACTTTTGCTCAATGCAAAGCTATGGATTGGATCCTCAACTGGATCATTATTCGTGCATGGTAGATATGCTGGGGAAGTCGGGGCAGGTTGGAAAAGCTTTACAGCTTATTGAAGATATGCCATTTGAGGCTGATGACGTTATTTGGAGAACCTTGTTGAGCGTCTGCAAGATGTTTGGAAATGTAGAGATTGCAGAAAAGGCTGCAAATTCCATCCTTCAACTAGATCCCGAGGATTCCTCAGTCTATATTCTCCTTGCAAATGTATATGCTGATGCAGGTATGTGGGATGAGGTTTCTTTGATGAGGAAGACCATGAGGAAAAATAAGGTTAAAAAGGAGCCAGGTTGTAGTTGGATAGAGGTGACAGGAGATGTCCACACATTCTTGGCTAATGAAAAGGCTCATCCTAGCCGTGAAGCAATAATGGAAGAACTTAATTTGCTTTACAATGAGATGAGAGAGCTTGAATATTTACCTGAGAGAGACTTTTCTCTGAATGTTGAAATTGGATGAACAGAATCGACGGAATTTGCAGGACTGCAGAGAGTAGGCAATGATGGGGGAATATATTTGAGCCACTGGATGACTGCTTAGTTGACTTGATTCTATGGAATATTGATGCAAGGTGAATTATGAATATAATTAAACGAAGAGTAGATGGAATTGAAAGCAAGGTGTATTAAAAGGGTTCAGGAACCTAATATGCTATGCCACAGAACATGATGTATTTTCAGGGAACTGTGCGATACTCTGTAAGCTCTGGTTTGGGATGATTTCACAATCTGTCATATGCCCCAAAGGATAAAGTTGATGGATCATTGTTATTACCAGGTCAGTTCAGTTATACCAGAGTTGGTAAGAGTGATTAATTTTTGAAATATATATTTTGCAATTGTCTTGAACTTGAGGAGCTTGTATTTTTACGGATAAGTTTAGTGATTAGTTTGTTATTTACATGACTGCTTTTGAGTTTCACATGATAACATCCAATACTTCACATTTCAGACTAAGCTGCTGGTGCTCTTAATCTGAAAGTGGAAAAATCTTCATCCTATAGCTTTTAATTAGTTTTGAACTGGTTCATGTATGATAATACTCCGGCCCCTAAATCAACACACTGTTGCTCATGGAATATGGACGTAGTGTGTAACCTTCATATTCCATTTGTAACTCTTGGTTTTTATGGAACTTCCCCTCCCCAATTCTGGCATCCCTATATTTTGTTCATTACTTGTTAGAATAATTTTTTGACTGCTGCTTATGCCTTTAAGGTCACCTTTTGTTATTGTAGTTGGCAGAATATGAGTGATCCAGAAATTATAGCAGAGCTACTCATGCAGGTATATGCAGTAATGCAGACCATTCAAGTCAACTATCTTTTGACGAGTCTCTAACAAGGTAGGTACAACTAGATTATCCGCCAGTTTTGATCTCATGGCACCAAATGTTTAGACTGCCTAATTTGTAAATGTGCAGATGTCGAGAAAGCAATGTTCCTGTTTGTCTCGTGTATGTGAAAGAGGATCCATGGGTGAAGCCCATCAGGGGCCAACAGGTGAAGAAGCAACTTGCAGAAGCCCCATAACTATTAAATTAGCCCGGCAGGTCATTTCCCTCATGATGAAGTTCTCGAGGTATGCCTCTGCTACCCAATTAATGTACAGGCTTGATCACCCATTAATCCTGGGAAGTTGTATAATGATTTTATGAACGAGTTGTTAATTCTATACTGTGTATGTAGGTGGTGAAGTTGAACTATTTACTGCACTGTTGGATCAAAAGTGTAGAATCGAAGGCTCAGGCACACTGCCTCTGCAGCTCTGCTTGATGATCCAGAGGTTGTCCAATATGATCTCACTAAGGACTTGGAGTTTATCAGGGAAGGATCTAAAAAGTTGGTAAGAGTATGCTTCCTTGGCTCACATTATTCGCTTGGGAAGCTAATACAATCTCAGATCAAAGATAGGTTAAGGAACTTAAGATTGAAACCTCGATGATGAAGCCATGTATGTGATTTAATTGCGACTTCTTGTAGATACGTAAATTTGCCTTATTCTTGTAATTGAACAAACAGGGTGTATTACTGATTAGTAATTGATGCTTGTGAAATTAATACGTTTATGTACAGATGATTCTTAGTGTAAGGGAGATCAAGGAAGAGTATATTTGTAATTTGTTCTTGTTAGTATAATGATCTGTTAGGATACTATGTTGACTAGTTGTTGGGTAGAACCACATGCTCCAAATCTACATGATCTGGGCAAATGACTACTTTATAGAACGATAATTGTTTCATGTGTTGAGCCTCTCATCACGGTGACGGGGCGATTTTCCTAATGATAAATGCTAGTCGGAAAATATTGAATACATTTCTGGGCTTTGAGCTCTATATTGCTCAATCTCAGTGATGAACTTACACAATCCCAATCTCAGAGAAGGAATTACAGTCGAGTAACATGTGCCTTGTTACACTATTTTAATTCACAATTTAGGCGGGGATTTTGTTGATGTAAAATCAAGTTTTGCAAACAATCACACTTAAATTTGTTCTTAGGTGTAGAATGTATTTTGGGGTCATAAAGTTGTTTGGAATCATGTAGGACATATTGAATGGTTTCAACCACCTAAATGGCCTTCCAAAGTATCATGGAATCCATGGAAAACGTCTTGTCTTCTATTCTTCAGCTTTGAAAAAGTGTAAAGTTATCTATAATTAAGGGATATATTCTACATTTACGGAATTTGTTTTTTCCAAACTAAAGTAGGTGAAAGATTTTTTTGGGTCATAAAAGTTAGTTTGGAATCATGACGCTCACTAGTCCGTCCCAAAGAGGTTCGTGGGCCTTGAGTCAATTAATTATATTTTGTCTTAGACCGACTATATTGATATTTTGAAGCAAAGTGGATGTTCTTAACTTCTTGCCACCTTAATACCCTCTTAGGGTTTTGCAAGATCCAAGAGAAGTGTCTTATCCTTTAATCTTTCGAGCTCTGAAAAAGTCAATTTTGATAAAAAAAAAATTCCAAAAAACTAAAGTTGATGTAGGAGGTGCCTCATAGGGCCACAAATTTTGGTTTAGAACCACGTATGCTCACTAATTGAGCACATAAACACTTGAGGTGGCCTTGAATCGAAGCATGTCTTTAGCTGACTATATTGATAGTTATAAAGCAAAGTGGATGGTTTAAGCATCCAAATGGCCTTCTAGGTCACATGGGGTCCTTGAAAAGCGTCTCGTTCGCTATCCTTTTAGTCATACAAAAGTCAAGCATTCTCTAAATTGAAGGCTATAAATTTATAATCAATTGTTTCGAATCAATTTCGTAAATTTTTTTTCTAAACTAAAGTGGATGTGAGGGTTTTGTGGTCATAATTTTTAGTTTAGAACTATGTATGCTCAATATTTAGTTACGTAAAGCCTTGGGGTGGCATTGAATCAATGGCGGGTCGTGTGCATGTAATCAATTGTATTGATAGTTAATTAGTTATAAAGCAAAATGGATGGTTTCAACTACTCAAATGATTGCTTGGTATCTCTTAGGTTTTATAGAAAGTGTTTCGTCCTCTATTTTTTAGACGTGAAATAGTTAATAATTCTTTAAAATTAAAGATTATAATTCACATTCAAATTTTACGGAGCGTTTTCTTTGCAGGTATATAATATACACTTATACATGAGTACATGACAACTTACAATAATCACATTCTAGTAGTTGGGAAATCAACAGGATGAAGTTTAAATTAAAGGAGGATAGTAGTTAGCATTTAGGCAGAAAAAATGGCAAATCATTTGCATAAAAATCAAATTCAAATATAAAAACCATCCTATACTCTTATGATCTTATCTAGTGACATCTAAAGCTTACCTACACAAAAATTGACAATTCAATATTATTATCCATTAACTTAAAATAATTGAGAGTTAGACAACTTAAATGGATGTAATTAATTAATTAATCGTTATACAAATTTTAAGAAGAGTTTAACAAAGAAAAAGCCAATCAAAGTCGAGACAAAAAGTAAACAACCCTCTGTAGACTGCAGGAGAAAGGTTAAATTGAGTGCCTTTTGACATTTTGTTGTTGATTTTTTTACCCAAATCTAATTATTTTATTCCATCAATCATGCAAATGTTGGCCCTTCTAATTGTACCATTTTATTTTCATGATTGTGCTTAGTACATCGAGAAAGAATATAAGGCTTAGCTTTTTTATTTGTACTTTGTAACAATATATTACTTTATTTGGTTCCTTTATTTATTTTTTTTCCTTTTTTTTTTGGGGGGGGTGTGGGGTAAAAGTGTAAAACTCTCTTTTGACAAAATAACTTTCTTTGATTGATCAATCACTTGATGCATTGATTTTAAATCGAGTAGACTTGGTAGCAAACTCATTTCATTTTAGAATAATTGCAACAGTTTAACTATTATATTTATTACTTCACAAGTGTAAACATTAAATTTGCAATTATATAATAATAAAAATAATTACAATATGAATTTTCAAAATTTAACACGATAGTAACATTTAATTATACGAAGTACTTCGTATATTATTAGAACAATAATTACTGTTGTAAATTTACAATATAAATTGCATAAAAGTTAAATTTTTGCGACTAATCTGAAATGAAAAGAACAAAAAGAAATAATTGCTTTTTAGGACTAGTGTAAACTAATATGACCATTTGTTCAGGATAGATCCATGAAAAGGGAAAAAAAAACATTGACCCATAATATGAGTGCATCTTACTCAACATAACTTGAAAACTCAACACAAATCAAGAAGAAGAAGCACGTGACCAATAGGAGATAAATGAGCTGTAAAGCCTTGATTATAGGAGGTGCTACTTAATCTCTTCCCATTATGCTTCTTGCTGCTGACATTATTACTAATTTGAATTATTCACCTGTTTTCTTATGGTCTCCATAATTACAACTAAATCAAGAGTTTAGACTAAGGAAAAATATGCATATTCGATTAAACATAATAAATTATTAAGCAACTTAATGTCGTTTAAAGAAGGTCTTAAGTTCGAGCCTCACAGAATGCAGAAAACTCTTGCTGGGAGACTCACCCACCATACGCCAAGCTATGCAATCCGGATGAGGCAACTCAAAAAATACAAACCATTAACAATTGTGTATCTTTCCTCTTAAAAAAACAGCAGCTAAAAATCACCTATACAGATCCAAAATTTTATCGAATAGTAGTCAAAGTACGAGTTTGTAATTGCATTTGCAGGGTATCGTGTATTATATTATGATACGGAGGGATTATTTGGGGGAGTTGTAAATATCAAATAGGTTCATTTTGTTAAGTATTTAAACAAATAGTGTTGGCTTCTTGAATCTTGACCACAATGAAGTTCATCTGAAGGACACTGATCTGTCTCTATTGCGCGTGTTTTATACCATATAATCAACTATACAGAAGAGCAAATCAATAAGATGTTTCAAATTTCATTTTCTATGGATTGAAGGGGAAATGAAAAACTGATTACATGCTACAAAACACTGATTACAATAGTCGCACTCTACATCTCTAGCCAATGTTCAATCGAGCAAATCGTGCAATAGACTATACAACAGCTCAACCATGGATACTCGGATGGGACATTTTTCTACATTGTATCCCAAAACTATATATATTGAGCTAATAAATCTATCAATATTTCAATGAACAGGCTGCCTCAGCAAACAATGAAGTAATGAACAAATTAACAGCTGATGGAAACATACACAAAGAACACAAGATTAATCTACAACATCAACAAGCAATACAAGAATACAAGCTTACACTCGAGTTTAATGATGAAAGACATCCGAGATAGATGTAGTTCAATCACTGAATCTCATTAACATGGTGAAGAAAACATACCAATCCGTCTCAGTGACCAAATCATGATCTTTTATTGTCCCTTATACTCCTTCGCAATTGAGAAAGACTTCCACCATCATGGTAACGAACAAGAGAAGAATTCCGTCCCATGTCACTATATCTTTCACTTCCAAATCTTAAACTTGAACTATGTTTAGCAGTCTGCTGTTGTTGCTTATTCACATCCTCTCCATATTCAGAATCCAAGTCAGGCTCGGCCAACAAATCCAACAAATTGTTCCTGATCCCCAAATCCGAATAAACCCTCCTCGGATTCTTCAATGGCTTTGCAAATTTACCATCCACATCAACCAAATTCCCACACTCCAACCCCCTAAACCTTGAACTCAAATTCCCATTTGTCAACCCAACAGGCTGCCCTACATTCTCCACCATCAAGCACGGATTAACCAACCCGTTCCACGAATGCAAAGGAACCAACTTACTCAATCTATCAAGTGCCTCAACAACCTCCCTCATCGACGGCCTTCTCTCCCTATTAGACCTCACACATTTCGCCGCAATCACAGCCAATTGCTTCCTAACCATCTGATCCTTTGGAGGAGGGATCTTAGGATCATAAATAGCTAAAAGCTTCCCTTTTCTTACCAAAGGGATAGCCCAATCCACTACTGAGGGTGGTGAATACCCAATATCAATAGCTTTTCTACCACTTATAATCTCCAACAACAATATTCCAAAACTAAATACATCAGTTTTTGTACTCAAATTATCAGGAGTCACATAACATGGATCCAAATAACCAATTGTTCCGGCCGGAGGCGTGGACCGGAGTCGAAAATCGTCTACATTACACCTTAATGCAAGCCCAAAATCCCCTAATCTAGCATTGTAATTTCTATCAAGCAACACATTTGCAGACTTTATATCTCTATGAATCACAGGTGGAAATTGTGAATGTAGGGTTTCAACAGCTTTTGCAATTTGCAATGCTAATTTAATCCTACGACCCCAATTGGGTACCTTTGAATTCTTGTGCAAATAATCATATAAAGTACCATTACACATAAATTCAACAACAAGTAATCTAGAAGCTTCATTAACATTATTATTAATTGCAGTAAAACCCACTAAATTTACAAACCTGGGGTTATGAATATTCGACAAAATGTTGATTTCATTATCAAATTCATCATTAAATGATGATGAAGAAGATTGTTGGGGTCTTCTAGAAGGTTTCTTGACAGCTAAAAGACGACCAGAAGGAAGAAGAGCTTTATAAACAAGGCCATGGCTTCCTCTTCCTAGAAGTTTCTGGTCTGAA